TTATTATAATTGATTATTTAAATGTATATAAATATAATATTGACTTTATTACAACAATACAGAAAATACTCACTGTTGAAAAGTTCTTTTTTTGGATTATATTGGATATTTTATAAGAGTATAATACAAAACCTTGTATTATACTCTTTTTTAGGGTTTTGTATTATACTCTTATAAAATATCCAAGCTTTTAATGGTTACGATTGGTTAAATCGTAACCATTTAAAGCTAATAATATTTTTTTAAAACGGGAATCATTTCATGGAATATATCTAAAAAAGATCTATAGGTATGTGTTGCCTGTTGTTTAATTTATGTTTAAATTTTATGCTATACTTTCTGTAACAATTCTTACGACGCAATAGGCGTTTTAGAATATAATATAATAAATAGTATTAAAAATGAGACTACAAGAAAAAAGTATTTCTTTACCTTAAACACCCATTTCTCCAGCGATGTTTTACCAGCACCTATCAATGACATTCCTATTTGAATGGTTCTTTTATCCCATACTGCAGGGCTAAGAAAAACTTTCGCGTTAAGCGCTTCTATATTCATTATGTTAATTCTAAAATATAAATCAAGAAATAAGAGAAGATCGCAAACAAGAAGCAAGGCACTAAATGTTTGTTAATACTACAACCAAGAAAAAGGTTACTTAAACAACCACACTTCTGGACACATCTATTGGCCCACCTTGTATTTTCAGTTTCGTTTGGTCCTAGCTAAAATTTTATATTAGGTCGACCAAAAGTTTTTATGCAGTTTTGAACCTGGCACATTCACAATTTCATTCAATAGTCTTTTTTTGAATTTCGAACACAGAATTTAAATAAACAAAAGACAATTTGGAGCCTGTTTGTTGATATCAAACAATCGAATACTAAGAAAACTTGGTTTTATTGGTTTACTTGGATTTAATTCTTGAAAAAGTGATTGATATCTTTGGTTTTGCAACAAACATTACTTATTCTTAACATTAAGGATTCTATCAATAATTTATGGATACTTCACCTGAAGTCGCCGCCCAAGCTGTGGCACTTATTCAGGCCGGACACAGTCAAAGAAACGTGAGTGCTCAACTTATTTTAAGTCGATCTGCGGTCCGAAATGTTTATCGGAGGTACCTAGAGACTGGCGGCTTTGTTCGTCGCCAAGGAAGGCCACGATCTCGGGTCACAACTGAAAGGCAGGATCGATTCATCGTGACGACCAGCTTGAGAAATCGTCACCTTACCTCCATTGAGATACAAAAACAAATTCGCGACTTCTACGGAGTATCTGTGAGCGCTCGAACTGTTCGGAGAAGGTTAAAAGAACGCGATATGGTACCACACAAGCCAGCTAATGGGCCCAAACTAACGCGAGCCCACCGAACAGCGCGCCTTCATTTCGCACGCAGTCATTTAAATTGGACACAGCAAGATTGGAGCCGTGTACTCTTTTCTGATGAGTAAAAAATTGTGTTACATGGCAATGATGGAAGGAAGAAGGTCTACCGACGTAAGGGAGAGCGTTTCGCACAATGCTGCTTTGAAGAGAGGGTTGCTTATGGCGGTGGCTCATGGACTGTCTGGGGCGGTATATCCGCGAGCGGCAAAACTCAACTTGAGGTTGTTACAGGACCACGGCTGCCAACATTAAATGCTGAAAGGTACATTCGTGAGTGCTTAGAACCTCACGTGATACCATACGCGGACTATGTGGGCCCAAATTTCCTTTTTATGCATGATAATGCAAGAGCCCATGCGGCCGGCATCGTCAGGGAATATCTTCGGGATGTGAACATCACAGTTATGGACTGGCTAGCCAGGAGCCCAGACATGAACCCCATTGAGCACATGTGGGACGAGCTAAAAAGACGTGTTAGGGCTCGTCAGCCAGTTGCCCAGACGATGCAGGAGTTGAAAACTGCCATAGAAGAGGAATGGGAGATGATCCCTCAAAATTTCATAGAGCGGTTGATAAACTCTATGCCTAATCGTATGAGAGCTGTGGTAGATGCCCATGGAGGCAACACGCGTTATTAAATTAAACCTTTATTTGATAAAACATGTTTTTATTCAAAAATCAATTGCCTTTAACAAGGCGCATATCCGACTTGTTAGGGGTAGCTCCATGTCGTATGGTATTCTGAATTCAAATTTAAAACAATACGATCGAAAAAGATGGTAAAATGTATCAGGTTTTAAACTGCATCAACAGTTTTTGTTCAATCTAGCAATCATATTTCGGTAGGGGCCATCGAAACCTAAACTCTAAGGTGGGCCAATAGATGTGTCCAGAAGTGTATAACCTGCAGTTAGGGTTACCAACTTCAACAATTTAGGTTAGAAATTTTGCGTTATTTCTAAAAATATAGTAGCTGGAAAATAATATAGTATGTGGTTAAAATATTTAATTTAGTAATATTTTTGCTGTTCTTTGCCTTACTAATATTATCATAATATTTTTTAAGAAAGCTTTTACTGTCAAAAATGTGCTTTAAGCAAAATATAGTAGTTTCGCCTACTATATATTTTTTTTAGAAATATTGTATTTGATCCCCTAATATAGTAGGCTACTATATTTTATAGTAGGGCTGGCAACCCTACCTGCAGTCCGAGCGGCGCTGATGAATTCAGAATCTGAAATAAGAATGACCTAAACATTCCGATAAAGTCTCTGACTCTGAACCCTGCGTGGGCAACCAGTTGCCTGCTTCTATGGCCACCCTGGCAACCTGCTTAAACTACACTGTTTATTTCTCGCGCTTGTTTTCGGAGTCTGAATCTGATTCTCAATCTGCGTGCACTGTGGCCGTACCCTATGAAGATAAGGGTGCGTCAAGGATTTTTTTTAAGATTCTCCCTTTTCTGCAACGGCAACGGGAACAATGCACATACAGCCTTATATTACGTTACATTAATATTCTTTTTTACTGGTCAACATGCGTTTCTAAAATCTCGATCAACGTCCACAAACTTGGTTTTCCTTTGTTGAGAAACTTACAGAGGCCATTGATGCTCGGCAGGAAATAGATGTTATTTACACGGATCTCAGTATGGCTTTTGATAGGGTGCCTTGCAAAATTTTAATTAAGAAACTGTCAATGTTTGGTATAACACGGGCTTTGCACTGGTTTGAATCGTATTTGAATAAGCGTAGGTTTTATGTAGTTGTTAATGGTTTGTGTTCCGGTGTACCACAGGGATCTAATTTAGGACCTATTTTATTTAATGTCTTAATTAATGACATTGTATCACGCATTCTATCCCATACTAGTTTGCAGATGATTTGAAATTGCTACGAATAATCGAAAGCGATAGACTCCTTACCGCTGCAGGAAGATTTGAATAGCTTGAATCATTGGTGTGAAGTTAACGGTATGCAACTGAATGTGGATAAGTGGTTTTATATCAAATTTACTAGAAAACATCGTACTATACAATCTAGTTATTATATTAAAAACACATTAATACAAGAAGTTGACCACATAAAAGATATAGGTGTGATTTTTGACAAAAAGTTAACTTTTGTTGCTCATTTAGAAAACGTTATCTTGAGGGCGTCTTGCATGCTTGGATTTATTATGAGAGTAGGCGGGGAATATCGCAGGCTGCAGACAAGACGGCTGCTGTACAATTGATTTGTCTTAAGCATTATGGAATACTGTAGTGTTGTATGGAGACCACACTGTGCATGCCACTCTCTGAGGTTGGAACGCATCCAGAAGAGATATCTTTGGCATTTAGCTTACTTAAATAACAAACGTAGGAAAGGATTTTCATACAAACATTTTAATTATACTTCATTAGAAAATCGCAGGATTATACTTGATCTTACATTTTGTATAAATTATTTAACAATAAAATAGATTGCCCTGGCCTTCATATTTACTTTAGATTTAATATACCAAGTAGATTACCCAGAACTCAAAAACATTAGTTCCACCTCTTCGCACGACGGTATTGGGTTCAAGTTCGTTTGTCCCTAGAGTAAGTAGACTAAATTCTTTGGATCAATCCATTGATCGTCAGCACTTACAATTGACCATGTTGTAGTATGTTGATATTATGTAACTTCAGAAATTGGCAGAATTTTGTAAATGTGAGAATTTTTAATGTTCTTTTAATGTTACTTGTGATTATTTACTCGCACATATTCCATGTTATGCAAATTACTGAGATAAAGGATTTCGCGTTAAGGGCGTATCTTCTGCAAGGTAGAAAATAAAAAACCAATAAAAATTCTACATCCATTATATTTGAACGTCATTAGTGGTGACAATTAAAATTAATATATTTTAAATGCGCTCCAGTCGTCTGGTTAATTTATTTTTACAATAAAAAGTATGAACGTAAAAATGTTTCTATCATTTAACATTCTCGAAGTTTTAAACGTCCCGCACATTATATTATTTCGTAACTGATTAAACCTGGTTACGAATATGCGATCGGAAATAATGAATTTGGCGAAACGTATTGAATAGTGAAAAATCAGTCTAACCGAAGGTACTTGACTATTCACTTGACATTGGTCTACATACGCTACCTTCAATCACCCACCGTTGCCTTAAAGCTAACAAAAATAATAGTATTAGGCCCTACCATAAACATTCAAAAAACAGTATCTAAATAGAAATGATCACAAATTATGAAAATTAGACAAAGCGTCTTCAATCGGTAGGAGATTCAACAATGCGGTAAAAGTCCGTACAATATGTAAAGCGATAAAACAGTCTTCCATTGAACTTTCTCATACTCATTATTCATCATTGTTTATTTAAATAAACCAACAATTTGTAATAGTTTGGCGAGACAAGTCAGTCATTATCTTAAATTTAAATAACCCTTCAGCCAATTTTTGATACAATACAATTTCATAAATTCGACATGTTCATTTCCAAACATTCACGTTTGCATATGTACTGCTGATTAATAAGGAATTTCATAGGAAATTGAAATTATGTGCAAATACTTAATTTTAATAATAATAATAATAAAAAGTCAACACAAAGCTACGCGGATACTTAAAGCGCATACATAATATTTTCAATTAATAAATATTTCTTAAACACAGCCGATCGAATCCATTCTATACCTTACTAGTCTTAACATATCAGTATCACATACATTCATAATCTTGTGGACCAACGTCAAAGGAACAATACAAGATGTTTGGCAATGGGCGAAATTCAAGAAAAATCTAGTTACATTATACGATAATTAAGAATCACAATACAGTTAATACTTATGAATAAAACTTACCTTAGATCAATTATCAAAAACGGTGACGTAATGTATACATAAGCAAATTTTCTGCGCGACAGCCGCAAAATTAATACCATCGCATCGGATATTTGTTCGCGTTTTAATTATTTAATTATACACTATTGTGTCAATGCAATAAATAGAGAATAGATAAATAAATACAAAAATTACATCCGGCTACTACATTTTCCAATGACCGAACTATTGTGGACTGTCGCGCAAAAGATAAAACGGAGCACCAGAAGATGACTTCATTTTTCTTAACTTAGAAAGCATGTCACAGTCAATGCGATAGGAATGTCCAGTAATTCACTGTGGGTTACTCTATACGCTATCTCTATGCACTTCCCATGGCTATTTGTATTTGCTATTTGGAAACATGACAGCACATTTTTATGCTCTTTATGGAATGAAAAGGAGAGACTGCTCTCAAATTTACAAATAACAAATTGAAATAGCCATTTGAACATTCATAATACATATATAACATTCTGAATACTTGCATGGTATTTAAAGTAAGGTATGTCTCCAAGGTGTAATTGGTAAATACTAATTGTAATGCCGGCACTTGGCTATTCGTGTTTGCTATTTGTAAACTTGACACCAGTCTGTCCTTATCATGCTCTACAAGGAATGAGAATGACTACTGATGTCATGTTAACACATGGCAAACACCAATAGCCAAGTGAAGTGCCGGTATAACGATTCAATTTCTAATAATAACGCGTATGACAATAAGCATAATAAAATAATCTCAATGAATAGGAATATTGTGCTGCATTATATTCTTATCATGCTCTGTAAGGAATGAAAGGACAGACTGTTGTCAAGTTTACAAATAGCAAATACGAATAACCATGTGAAGTGCCAGCATCAGGGTTGGTAAACTTACAGCTTGTATGGATCGTAAAACAATAATTTCCAGCAAGTAACATAATGCAGAAATGTTCCCGATGTGAAAATATATTAACGTTTGTGCTTCATAATTGATTACTTACTAATTACCTTACAACACTGTTTCTTTAGGCTCCTTTCATTGTTCGGCGTATCGCCGGTCGCGTATTTGGACAGGACAGGGTTTAAAAATCAGTTTGTCAAACGTGATTATTGACATGCTAAAATAATAAAAAACGAGCGTGCCTTACAGTAGTCGTGTATCATGTGTAACATTTGAAACCTCACCTTATATTAGTAAAAAAAGAAGTAAAACCTACTAGAAAAGGAATAAGCCATTTAAACATTATGTTCTAAAATCAAATCAAATAGCGCGCGCTTTCGTGACTTCCTGTTACACACTTCCGTCCCATTTCACGAAATCACTCCCACAAATCGCAGGAAAGCGAGAGGACACATAAAAAAACATCTTCCCGCAATTGCGAATACAGTGTAACGAATGCACCACTTAACAAACCATCTGAAGTTATAGAATGCATGAACAATTTTCCTTTTCCGCTATCACGGCGTTTTTTATTGTGGTGATATATAGTGCAGAAATCAAAATAGATTTTTTTCATTAACTGTCATGACTGATAAAAGTACGTGACAGAACACGTCCAGCCCGGTCGAGAGCACATGCGAAACTGTGAATTGCTAACTCGACCAGCGCAGCACGCGATCGGCGAATGAAAGGAGCCGTATAGCTAGTAAAAACATCAAGTTTTCACAAAATTTCAAATTCTCTTAATAATTATGAATTGTAAATCAAGCAAGATTTGGAGTAATTCGATGTTTTAAAAAACCTGATGACACAAATATTTCACTTTAGAATATGCGTAGGGTGTTAAAACAACAACTTTCTCGCCCAACGCATATTTAAGTCTAATACTGTATGTACGACATAGTTTTTTACGCATCTGAGCTTCTTACAAGCTGAATTTTTATATTTTTATGCACAACATCTTTGACAGTGCCAGCTTTGCAAAGGGTTGAACTTATCCAAAAAATGCAAACTTAAATGGTTATTGTTGCCTAGGGCTACCTCGAAGAAATATAAATGAGCATAGACTTGAATCAAATAAATTTATAATGTTTTAGTAAGTCACTGGGACTGTTAAGCCTCGTCTTATTAGTGAGCACCAAAAGATATATCCTTTGCAGAGTTGGCAAAGTAAAGGTATGGTATGAGACATTTTAATGTTTTAATCTCAATACTAACGGATCTGGTATTCAGCTATCCAAGATTAGTGCATGTAAAAATTAATGTCTTACATATTTTTCGATAGTGGCGTCGATTCTAGCATGATTCTCTAAATTAAAACTAAATTTGACATCAGTCTTTTTCATTATGTATAGAGAATGACAAGGATACACTGTTGTCAAACTTAAGTATAGGTTTTAGAGAATCATGCCAGAATCGACACCAATATCACTAGAGCCCGTATAAATAATGGGATCGTGTACACAGTACGTCACCGTTTTTGCATCGATTTACACAATGGAGTTTCAGTACACGTATATCTAGGGGGTGATGTCAATGCGTGGAAGCAACCTCAGTCTTGTCAATCGGCTGTGAACCAACAACGCTGCTTTGCCCTGCTGTTTCTGTCCGGCACGTACTGGGAAAGAGAATGTTCGTAGTTTGAAATCATGTTTTCTCCATTAACTAAAGAGAGGTAGGGCATAACGGATTTCCGGAAAGTACCTACCACCTTAAGGCGGGCTTACGTAGCGAGCGTCAGCGACGCCGCGACAGAGCGTCAGATAAAATTTCTATGAAAATGTCAATGTCAGCGTCGGTCAAAGCGGCACTGACAATGTCATTTGCATAGATATTCTATCTGACGCTCTGTCGCGGCCTCACTGGCGCTCGCTTCGAAAGCCCACCTTTACAGATCTCAGTAAAAACACAACACTTTCTTACAGTTTTTGTCGTAACTAAAGTTCCAGGGCTCCACGAGCAAGTGATAGTTTTGGTATGTGTAATGTGGTTTTGGTAAGGACTGAAAGTCGTCTTCAGGCGAATCATTCAAAAGGGTGGAAAACTGCGACACACACGTCAGAAGGCCGAATGTAAGAATTAAACTGCTTGAATTACAAATTAAATAAAAGTTTAGACTAGAAAAAATCCAATCGGTCCATTCGTTTATGAGTAAAATTGATAATATAAAATTTCGGAACTGAACTGCGGTCAGGATAGTAACTGCAGTGCTATTCTGTAAGAACAAACTCAGTTTTCACCTCAGAATCGATGTTGCGATTTTAAATTTGAACATGAATTTCGAATAAATTTCAAATCACACCAGCTTTATGAGCGCTGAAAAACGAGTTTGTTTTTACAGAATAGCACTGCTGAACTGCAATTGTGATAGTGACTTTCAAAGTAGGTAAATTGAACACTTACCAAAAAATGTTTTATGCTTCCGTAGGTTGCTCTATCGGGTCGGTGCGTGGTTCGTCAACAGCCACAGTCTTCACTTTAATATCGGGGACTTCGTCTTTGCTAGTTGTCTTTTCGGTCTCAGAATCTTCATGGGAGGCACCGTTCGCGTTACCATTAGCCCCGCCATTAACTTCTACCTTCCCATTCTCTTCCACAGACAATCTAGAACTCAGTTCCTCGTCTTTACTGGCATCGCCGTTAACATTGGCAGGTGCCGCGTCGCCATTTGTCACATTGCCGTTCACTTGGGATTCTGATTCCACCTTAGGTTCCTCAACCACCTCTGCTTTTGCTGCTGGCTGCTCCTCCGAAGGCTTAGTTTCGACTGCTTCTTTGCTTTCAACTTCCGGCGTTTTGTCCTCTGCCTTCGGTGTACTTTCCTCCGTTTTAGTTTCCGCCTTTGTTTCTTTAGGACTGCTTACTGCATTTCCATCTGTAACATTATTTGACTCGACCACTTCAGGTGCTTTCTCTTCAGGAACTTTTGCGTCGTCCGTGCTAGATTCTTCTTTTTCGCTTTTCTCTTCTACCGCTTCCGATTTCGCGTCTGTTATTTCTTGTACTGTATTCAAATCGATATCTTCGCATTGTTTCATTTCGAGTTCTAGTTCCGTATCCAGTATCCTGTCAACGATATCGTTCGAGTCCGCGTTTCCGGCTTCTAGGGTTTCTTCTGCGATAGGATTCAGTAAAGGTTTTACTGGAATGTTATCTAAATTCGTAACATCTTGCACCTTTGACAAAATCTCGTCGCATTCTTTTTCTAGGACTTCTCCGACGTTTTGTAAGTCTTCCATATCTTCGACGGCTGGCGGTTCCTCGATAACAGGCTCGATATCATCAATTTTTTCTCCAACATTGGCGAGATCTGGTTTTTCCGTTATGTCTTCGATTTCTGTAATAATAGTAGGAGGCGTTTCCTCAGCAACAGGTTCACTGACATCACCATTTTTAATATCTGTAGATTCCTTTGGTTCATCCGATACTTTAGTTTCGATCGTCTCTGCTTCCATCTTTTCAGTCTCATTCTCATCAGTCTTATCTTTTTCTTCAGTGATGATTGGTTCTGCATCGACAACAGGTACGTCGATTGCCTCCTTTGCATCTAAAATTTCTTCAACTACTGTCTCCATTGGCAATTCCTTAACTTTTTCTTCTTTAGTTTCTTCTACTAAAGGAGTCTCTTCCACTTCCATAGTTTCTGGTTTTTCAGTCTCTTTGTTTTCTGTCTCCTTGTTTTCTGTTGGTGCGGGAGAAACTATTTTTTCTTCTAGCTCAACATTTGTCTTTACGTCGTCTTCAATGTCAGTCTTCGGCACCTTTGCAGGTATCTCTTCCTGAAAGTCATACATAAACATGTTAAAGAAATTAAAATAAATTACTGAACACATTACAGGCAACAGATTGGAAATTTAAATGCTATACCATTCTTTTTGTCTATGATAAGATAATCTCGTGCGGCAAGAATATTTGATAATTCAATAATGACATGGTATTTATCTTAATCTTATATTGGATTTTCGTTAATTGAATTAATTTGGTTCTATACAACTATATATACTGCCGAAGACTCTTATACAATATTCGTTTCGTTATATTGTTTAATTTACATGACTTGTAACTACCTTAAGGAATTAAATAGTTATGGGTTGAAAAGCCGTCTTATTTTTGAAGTGAAAACTTCTTTAGCGGCGTTGTACACTTTTTTTGTATGGGTAAAAAATGTAAAATTCGCGTCAGGACACGTGGCGTAAGACGAAAACAATAAAATTGGAAAGGTTGTTGACTTTCAATATCTTGGACGAAACGTAGTAATATTTTATTTTATCGTATTATAATAATAAGGATCTAGGACGTCCAGGTGGCAGCTTTATTGCGAAGAAAATGCATTTTTTTATAATAGATGTCGCTAGGTGCGCTTAAATGTGATTCATGTAAGTTGATTTTTCTGAGAGAAACTTTTTGATGTTTAATAAATTGTCATGTTTGTGTACGATAGCGCAATAAATAAAAATTGTATTCTAACACATAAATTATAGTACTTCTATACTGATAATTAAAGCAATTTTTGCAAATTATTCCCTAACCATTCCAAAACATCAAAAATGCACAACATTAATATTCAAGTTTTCACTTCTGCCAGCACTCCCAGAGTGCAAACTGTCGTTTTTTTAACCATAATCCAACATATTATGCATAATTTTTTTGTTTGATATACTAATTGATTTTAATTATTTACGTTTATATAATAAAGGTAAAAGTTGACTTTTGTTGAACGAAGTAACTAAAGCGATTGCAGGACGTTCAACAGGATGATACTTCGAGCTTGTTAGCCGACGAACCTATATATTCAATAAATCTCGCAAACCAATCGTTCAAAAACAGTTTTATTAAGTAACGAAACATTATGTATTAAACTTATCAGTATTGCCAAATACAGTTAACAGCTAAAGCTCTTTTTTGAATAATGACAATAACAAATTATTAATGCTACAAATTAAGCCTTTTAAGGAAGGGCTGTGCCCCAGCAGTGGGGGCATTAATAGGCTGCCAACAAAGCCCTATAAGATCTTTAACAATTTCTAAGAATATGATCATTCAATTGATTTTGATAAGGCTCTATGAATCCCCATTATTAAACTGTCTATGGTCAGACTTACCTACCTCTTTGTTTAAGTTTGATCTAAATTCGTTTGAAACAGACTATAGATACTCAGTAACATAATTCCATTATGAGATAAGTTTATCAAAGCTTAGTTGCTTAGATATGTTTGTTAATTATTATAACACAAAAACGATTGTTTAGAAATTAAACTATGATAAGCCTGTCTAATTAAGGGGCTCATATGTACGGTTTCCTGATTCGGTTCGGATACCTAAATTCCGGTTTGGAGACCTGAATGCACGTCATTACATACAAATGTTCAACGAGGCGCACACTTTTCATATTCTTTCCAATGGAAATACCTAACGAAACGTCTGCACTAGACTCGCGGAATTCCGAATCTGAATTCCTGGGCAGAAAGCCGTACATATGCGCCCAGCCTAAGAAGGAACACGGCCGTGCGTGTTCAAAAATTGCCTGTTCATTGTCATAAATGAAGGTAAATATATCACCTGGGTGCGTACAGTTTGACTATCACAAAAAAAGAAAATTAGTCAAGTAAGAGTCGGACTCATGGCCATGATGCAAAGGAAAGTGTGTGCAATACAGCATTGTTAAGGACAAGCAAAAGTTCACAAACTACGTACAGGACACCACTTATTTGCGCATTATCCCTGAATTAGAATGCATCATACACATCAAAGATACGGCCATTGCACCAGGGAAATTTTGAAAAATATACTATATACTGTATATGTGAGAAAATAAGAGGAAGGAAATAAGAGGAGGAAGGAAAAAGAAAAAGCATGAATTAGCAAGTGTCGTCCGAATCCAGGGTATTTGATAAGAAATTCCGATTCAGGAAAAAAAATCCGAACGCAGATCCGCATTTCAGGACGTTATCATGACCGCAATCCCAAATCTGATTCCGATTTAGCGACCAAAAATTACTCTTTAACCAAGTTTCTAGGCTTGGATCAGAAAAGAAAACAAATTAAAATTGCGGGCAAGCGAGGGACAACTCCGTGCCGAAATATAGACTGACACAAACCACGTTATAGATTCCAATGGTATGATAGTAAACTATCAAACACCATAATGAATATATAATAATGTCAATATTGAAGATCGAGTAATAAATAGCATTTAAAATACCAAATTGTAGTTCTAGTAGTGAAAAAAATCGTAGACGGTATTTATGCGTGTACAATAATGTTTAAAAGACCACCTGTGCAACTGTATAAATAGTATGAAAGTCCGTAATAAAATAGATGTAATATAATTTGAGCTGTAGCTAGAAGCGTATTTGTATGTGTAGACAGTTTGTTTTCTGTGAGAACCTGTAATTGGTTTACTGTTTCATATTATAAATATTTTTTGTGTTTTAATAGCTGATGGTTTTTCTACAAAATAAATAACATTTTTCTGGTATTATTAGAACTTACCAAATAGGAGCGGAATTAAGAAACTATCTTCATATGCAGACAGACGGTAATGAACTGAGTGAGGGACAGCGGTTTAATTTAGCTCACACTGATAATAATGTGTTGATGCAACTCTTATCACTAGTCACATTGGAAAGGAAACAGGATATGCATTAAGCAGCAAGAAGAAAAGATTCAATTAGTTTAAAATTGTTTATTTTGAAACCATGACATTTGTAGAAATTGATTAAAAAAATATGCAATGTATAATTTTCTTAAATGTTTAGTTTTTTCATTATGAGATAATTTAATTTTCTATGTGTAAACATGCTCAAATATTTGATATTATGATCTACTTTAAATATAGTTTTTTTATATTTTATTGTTAACTATAAGATTCAAGCCTCACACTTTATCTCTTCTCCCTTAATTAAACAAAGAATTAACATGGACTAGACTTCCATAAAATTCCATATTTCTTTCACTTAAAAAAAGTTATTAAACAGCTTTTTTGAACTTCAGAAACAAACTCGACCATTCCATTATTGCAATAACAATAAACTTATTGTTTACCATAATCTAAATACCTGTAACACAACCTAATTTACACATATGTCCATTAAATTATTAAGTATAAATAAACAAAATATGTGATAGAAGATTCAGTACATATATAAGTAACATTAATTAAATAAATAATCTCCTAAGCAAACTTGGGCGGTAGGCGCTTATTCGTATAGTATTATTAAAAGCGCCATCTAGTATGTAATAGCAGAGGCTTTACTGGCTGTCTGCCACATACAAAAAAGATGTCATATTTTGTTTATGCACTGCAACATTTAAAACGTGTGACCCATTTTAAAACCGCTCTTACTGCTTACTATGCATATGCTCATTCAATACTATCATATGGTGTAATTTTGTGGGGAAGCTCAACTGACGTAGACAAATTATTTATGATGCAAAAGAAATTGCTAAGGAAAATTGACAAACATCGATCAGATGGAATCGTGTAGCAACTTTCGCAGTGGTCGGTCACTGGATGGGTGACCAAAAATTTACTATCTCCAGCTCCTCCGTGCTTTGGAAGGCACGTTAAGCCGTTGGTCCCGGCTGCATCTGTAGTCGTTAGCACCCACCAATCCGCATTGGGCCCGCGTGGTGGGTCATGGCCCTATCTCCCTATTCCATCCATAGGGAAGGCCTGTGCTCCAGCAGTGGGGACATTAATAGGCTGATGATGATGATGAGACCTTATTTTATTTAAATATAGAATTTTGACCCTTGCATCCATACTTATTCTTAAATCATGTAAGGGCAATGCCCACTTTGTATCGGAATTTGGCTTAACATGGACAGACATTTAACAAGTAACACTATACAAAGCAAGAAGCTTAAATCAATAAAGAAAAGAAGAAGAAAAAGTCATTTTCGCAACGATCTACAATATTCGAAGTCATTATATTACCAATACGATGTCTAGACACTGGGATACATTTTCTGTTACAAAAACAAATAAAATTTAAAATAAACATCTATTCTTTAAATATGCCGCGAAAACTTTATATTTCGCAATATGCCGTATATATGCATAATACCAAATAACTAAACGAAAACACGCTGTTCTTTTGACAGCATGGGTGCGTTCCAAACGTAAGCTCAAAGTGCAACTTTTCATTTAGACTTTCAATTTTGACATAAAACTTGAAACTTGATTTTTGTTGCGCCTGGAACGTAGTTTGTAACGCAGCCCTTGTCTGCAAATGTCATCTTAGATCCGGCCAATCCTAGCCGTTTTCGCTGAAATGACGTGATGCCTACTTAAATTCGGCCAATCAAAGCCGTTTTCGCTGACATGTCGTGGTGATAACTTAAATTCGACCAATGACAGGCGTTTTCGATCATGTGACATTAGATAACTAATGGAAGGAAGTGACCGTATTATTTTCATTTAATTTTATAGTATTATTAATGAAACTCTCCATTATATTACGGTTATAGAAGTTGGTTTAAAAATAAATAAAATAATATTGTAAAATTGTTGTTTACCAAGCACTTTGTCCACGCTGAGCTTATTTTGGGCGCTGCCCTTTGTAAGAAAACATCCAAAATTTTATTCACCAACATTATGTGTTAAAAGTAATAATAGGTATTTCAATAAATTAGAAGTGCCATACAGTAAATTAAGATTGGTTTCGGATGGTCCTCATGCTATGACAATAAAAATTTATTATCATGTACCTAATTTATATAAAGACAATAATATATAACAATTTTAGAATATTATTTTATTTATTTTTATCCGTGCGGTGACGGAGAAAAAATACCACTCATCGCCCCTTAACTTCCCGCGGGTGTCGTAAGAAGCGACTGAGGGATATGAGAGCTTCCATCTGCTCTTCTGGTGGTAGGGTGCCTAACACCCGCCTGGTTTGTTACCACCGTACGCATGGTGAAAAACCCGTGAAGTGCTTCACGCGCGTTTCGGGGTCAGCCAGCGTACAACCAGAGCTCGAGTGGAGATTGCCGCGACAGATTCGGTCCAGTGGAGGCATCCGTCGAACCGATGCCGGGAGGACTGCATCGACCCACCGGCCAGGGAGACCCGTAGAAACGGCTGTCCCGCTGGCCGCCCGTGGCACAGTACAGGGGCCCGAGCGTTCTTAACCAGTTCGCGAGGCTGCCCTATCATGTCACGTATAATCTCGGGGTGGACCGTCGTGCCGGTTGGTGACCGGGGCGTGGGGTCCCGGCGGCCACTCCCGGTAGGGTGCGGGGGCCCTTCTGTCCGTTGGGTCGGCGTATCTCTTTATCTCTTTCTTAGGCAGTTACTCGGGAAAACGTGCCTCCACATATTTGCCCGTCTTTGTCGCGACTAACTCCACTCGATTCACGTCTCTCAACTTTTTTCTGGCAGCCCGTAAAATAAAGTTTGGTTGTACAGCGGCGCACACTCCCACGCCTTCCGCGCTGTTTGAGGTTGAGTTCTGTAATATACGCGGACTCCACTCTAACCTCAATGCTGTCCACCACCATCTTGAGACAGCACGGCCAGCACTATTGTTTCTCCGCCCGCTGACACAGGCTACCTTAAATATCCCGGCTACGCGCTTGAAGAATCCTTCAAAGCAAAAGCCGGCGTATGATTGTATGTTCGGGCGGATGTTTGTTGTCGCCGTTTGAGCTGCCTGGAAGACCCCTCCTTTTCCATGTTGGCGGTACATGTAGATTCTGGTCCTCTGGCCAGAGTCTACGTGTGCCTCTACAGATCTCACACCGGCGACGCTGAGACAACTCGACTGTTTGACCACCTCAGTAGGGTAGCAGATGATGCCCTGGCGCAATTTCCCAACGCAGAACTGGTGTTTTTGGGAGACTTTAACGCCCACCACGGTTTGTGGCTTGGCTCTTCCAAAACTGACCATGCCGGGATCTCTGCCCATGCTTTCGCTCTCACGCATGACTTGACACAACTGGTTGATCAGCCCACCAGGATCCCAGATATAGCAAGTCAAGCGACTTCTTTACTAGACCTTCTGCTTACGACCCATCCGCTAGGAGTATCAGGTTGTGGTTCGAGCCCCACTGGGTTCATCAGACCATTGCCTGATATCTGTCAAGGTACCACAGGCCAAAACCCCTCGACCATTGGTGGTCGAACGTAGGGTCTGGCACTATGGGTCGGCAGATTGGGATGGTATGCGCGATTACTTTGCGTCCGTCCCTTGGAAGCAGCGCTGCTTCAATGAAAAGGACCTATCATCCAGCGCCGTTGCCATTACTGAGGAGATCGTAATGGGAATGGAGTATTACATTCCACATTCTGATCTCACCAGTAAGGGCACACGTAACCGCTGGTTCAATCGCGATTGTGCCGATGTTGTTTCTCGCAAGCAGGCGGCATATCGCGCTTGGATCAGAGGCCGCGCTCTTAAGGATCCCGGGGTTAACTCACTGAGAGCTGCCTATAATAGTGCTTCCAAGTCTTGTAAGAAGGCTTACATCAGAGCGGATGCCCAACGTGTAGCACGTACTGGCCAAGAATTGTTAACGCACCCTACGGGCTCCCGTAGTTTTTGGCGTTTGGCTAAGGCCGTGCAACACAATTTTTGCCAGCCCTCGCTGCCACCTCTACGATGTCCAGATGGGTCACTAGCTCATGAGCCGCAAGAGAAAGCCGATTTGTTGGCAAAGCTCTTTGCGGATAACTCCCGAATCAGTGATTGCAATGCACTGCCACCTACACTACCTCATTGTGGCACTACGATGCCTGACATTAAAATCAGGCAGCGTGATGTTCGTGCGGAGTTGCAATCACTCGACGTCCGGAAAGCTAATGGACCTGATGGCATCCCAGCAGTTGTTCTAAAACATTGTGCAGCGGAGTTGTCTCCCGTGCTTACGCGCCTGTACCAACTCTCTTACTCTTTGGGGCGTGTGCCGGAAGCTTGGAGAGACGCCAATGTGCAACCGGTGCCCAAAAAAGGGGACCGCTCAGACCCGGCCAACTATCGGCCGATAGCTGTCACCTCAGTGTTGTGTAAAGTCTTAGAAAGGGTCCTTAACAACCATCTGACCCGCTACCTAGAAGATTACTCTCTGATTCACGATCGTCAATACGGATTTAGGCCGAATCGATCGACGGGTGACCTTCTAGCGTACGTGACACACATCTGGGGTGAAGCTATAGACAAGCGGGGAGAGTGTCTAGCTATTAGCCTTGACTTGGCTTTTGACAGGGTCTGGCATAAAAGCCTTCTCTCCAAGCTGCCTGCATACGGTCTGCCTGCTCAGCTCTGCGCCTGGGTAGCTGACTTCCTGCATGAGCGTAGAATTCGCGTCCTTACGGACGGATGTAGTTCGAAGTTCATGTCAGTGAATGCCGGTGTTCCTCAGGGCTCCGTTCTATCCCCCACACTCTTTCTGCTGCATATCAATGATTTGATTCCACTTGCGAATATTCATTGCTATGCAGACGATAGCACAGTGCATGCGAGATACTTTGGACACGCGGCGGCTGGACAGGTAGAAACCATGGAGAAACGAGAGAATCTTGTCGTTGAGCTCAATCGGGCTTTGCACCACATTTCCGAATGGGGTACCAGGAACTTGGTTGAGTTCAATGCCAAGAAAACTCAGGCTTGCGCTTTCACGGCAAAAACATCGCCATTCCTTCCCCTTCCCTCTCTTCAGGGCACAACACTGGCGCTACAGAGCTATATTACCATGCTCGGTATGGAAGTTCGCCCAGACCTGAATCCAAAGGACTACATCGAGACCTTTATCAAAGCAGCTTCACGCAAACTCGAAGTCCTGAACAAGGTGCGGCGTTTTTTCACGCCCGATCAACTGTGCTTGTTGTACAAAACGCAAGTGCGGTCCTGCGTGGAATATTGCTCGCACCTCTGGGATGGCTCCGCTAAGTACTTACTCGATGCCTTGGATAGGTTGCAGCGGCGCGCTGCCCGCATCATTGGCGATGAAGAGGTAACTAAGAAACTCGAGTCTCTACAATTACGCCGTAATATGGCATCATTAAGCGAATTCTACCGACTACACCACGGCGTGTTCTGAGGAGTTATTCTCGCTTATCCCTCCATCACCTTTTCTTCAGAGGACCACGCGCGCTGGCCTACGTTGCCACCGACTTACTGTGGCCACTATTCCTACACGAACAAAGAAGTTTGGCGACTCATTTCTTTGTCGTACTATTCGTAAGTGGAATTCTTTGCCCGCGCGCGTGTTCCCTCCTTCCTATAATCTGGGGTCCTTTAAGAGGCGTGAAGAAGCATTTTTGCGGGCCGGCAAGGTGAGGATGGTTGGTGTAGCAGTTTATAACTGTTGGTCCAGCTATCTTTGCGTTTGGACTTTATTACCACTTAACATCAGGTGGGGTAAAGTCATTTGCCTAAATAATTATAAAAAAAAAAGAATATAGGAATACCTGTAAAAAATGTTATTATAATCTGAAAGAATTTTTTGATGACAAATGTAATTAATGTTTCTATAATTATTATTATTATTGACATATTTTCATTGTTAAATTTATTTTATAAAATTTAATTGTTTGTTGTGTCATTGGTCCTGTGTTAGTTATAATTTGCATATTGTACCTATACCTAATTGTTTCAGTTTTATAAATTTGGACTTCAACTCTCCAACTTGATATTTGCTAAGCCATAGGCTAGTTGTAATAGGCATAGAGGAAATAAAAGCTTTACATATAGGATAAATTATGCTTTAGATGTTGTATCGATCTAGTATACGTATTATTCTACATTAAACCAACTACTCTAAAAAGTTATATTTGTGGGCACAAACAACAAGGCACAGTCACATAGAAAGTGAAATTGAATCTATATTAGAAACTTTGTGGGATGATTGGGTTGGGCTTTACCTTACGCCGACACTTCACCTGGCTTATTCGTATTTGCTATTTGTAAATTTGACAACAGTCTGAATTTATCATGCTTTATATGGAATGAAAAGGACAGACTAATGTCAAACTTGAAATTGGGAAACACAAATAGCCAAGGGATGTGCCAGCATTAAATATACAAATATAGATACCAACACCACATCACTCACCTGATTCACGACAAAACTACCACAAGCATGCAAGCGTGCTACGAATGAATCTAAAGAAAATTTTACTTGAAATCCTTGGGGACCAGAAGGGATTCGAACCCTCACGTTCCGCAATCCCAGCGGGTTTCTTGAAAAATGTTCTTTCAGATTCATAAATCTAGCAGTTAAATGCTTAAAATTAGGCGTGCTACGTATGTTTGAGCACCTGGGGGTCTGGTTTTCTCTTATTGGTGACGGCCAATTGTTGCAAACTGTGAATTACTGGGAACGTGGTGTCATCTGGCAAGGAGGCGTTGCCTTCACGACTGACTAGGGCCGCTTCTAGGCCGGACTCCCGGGCAGCTTCGGCTTCTAAATGTAAACAAACGATAAGAGATTAATTGAAGGATATAATGAAATCCAAACTTTATGGTGGTCCAAAAATTGACGTATAAAAATTAGTTAACTCCCAATCGCCTAACAAATCTGATTACAAAAACGTTCAAGCAGCGTTCTACGCCAACTTACACAAATAGCATTAACACATTTGTTGAAATTAATACGATATGACGTGGCAGTAAGGTTTAATGTCAATTGCATACGAGCAAGAATTTTCTTCAGACACTTCTCGGGCGCGATTGTGAGTCTACTTGTTGTTGATATGTGGTAGGCTGTTTTTATACGTTAGGGGTCCAAAACCCAGGCCCTCTATTATGGAACCTGGGGTACAACTGGGTCCTGCGTGGCTCGCTCTTGCCGCGAATGGATGTCGTCTGCTTTACGGACGACACCCTTGTCGCGGCGAGAGCGAAGGAGTGGGAGGAGGCGGTCCACCTTGCGTCGGTCGGTACCTCCATGGTTGTCCGACGCATCCGCCTCCTGGGGCTGGAGGTGGCCCTCGATAAAACGAGGGCCATGGCGTTCCATGCCCCAAGATGTAGGACCCCACCGGGGCTCCGTGTCCGGGTTGAGGGGATCCGGGTTCATGTCGAGATGCACATGAAGTATCTTGGCCTGGCCCTGGATCCCCGGTGGAGCTTCGAGGAGCATTTTAGGCTCCTCGCTCCCCGGCTGTGCGCCGCAGCAGCCGGACTCGGACGGCTCCTCCCCAATGTGGGAGGGCCGAGGGCGAAGTGCCGTCGGCTTAATCACTCCGTGATAAAGTCGATGGCGCTGTACGGGGCCCCGGTCTGGGCGGAGTGCCTCTCGTCCCGCACGAGGGCCCTCCTGCGAAGACCGCAGAGGTTGATCGTGTGCCCGGCCTGGCGAAATGAGCGCCGCGATCTGATCGCGGCGCTCGGCGGAGGAGGCCTCACGCTGCCAAGTATGGTAAGAGCCATGCTTGGTAGCGAGAGAGCCTGGAGGGCGGCCGCCTCCTTCTGCGAATCTGTGATGGCGCAGTAGGAGGCAGCGGAGAGGGAGCGGGAGGAGGACGCTCTAGCCCCCCCTCTCCGGCGTAGACGGGTGGGCCGAAGGAGACAGGCAGCGGTGACTGCCGGTCTTCGACGGCCCTAAGGTGGTCTGGGCGCGGCCTGACCAGCCGCGCGTCCTAGGTGCCGCTCCGGCATAGGCCACCACGTCTGGGGCTGCCTAGTACCCTTGCGCAGTCCCCCTGAGGCGCGTCGCCCGGTCCATTCGTTGGGCCGGGCCTGCCCGAGGGCGTCCCAGTGAAGTGGCGCACTTTAAGGTGCGTCGATCCTGAGACGCCCCCATATGGGCGTAGGAGGGTACCGGGGGGTTTTAGTGGAGTAGGATCAGTGTGGCCTTCCGCAATGGTCCTGCTTGAGTAGGGTCGGCACTGTTTCCCATGCCGGAGAGTCCCACACACGCCGTGCGCCTAGTCAGCGTCACGGTATGGGGCGTAACTGCATTTCCCCTCGTCACAAAAAAAAAAGGAGGTCCAAAACCCAAACTCGTTCGACTCGCGATCAGAGCATCGTTTTTTTGATGTGTAACATCTTTCCTCTCGCTTTCCTGAAATTTGTGGGAGTGATTTCGTGAAATGGGACGGAAGTGTGTAACAGGAAGTCGCGAAAGCGCGCGCTATTTGATTTGATTTTAGAACATAATGTTCAAATGGCTTATTATTTTGTAGTACGTTTTATTTCTTTTTTTTTATATAATAATAATAATATAAGGTGAGGTTTCAAATGTTACATACGCGACTACTAAAGGCTCGCTGCTTTTTGAAGTTATACTTCTTTAGGCGCGTTATGAAAAAATGATGAGAGTGAAATTTTAAGATGCGCGCGCATCACTGTAACACAAAATTTTAACAGCATGAAGTTGGTCGCTAAAGCGACTGCGTTACTTTTGTGTTTACCGCACATTAAGAAAATCTACCAACAAAATAGAAATAGAATCTCTATTTAGTGGGTGCTAACGACTGCATTGTTAGGGCCTATCAAAAGTATTTATTAATCTGGAACAACGGAACCAAAGCGCGATTCAGGAGACTACAGCGCCATCTCTTGACCATTGGTGTAGTAGAACCAAAAACCACATCTTTATTTTTTGTAATAAAGTAACAGTTATATATTTGGAATACGTGTTTGAGTTTCATACAAGTGCAAATCACATATGTTCTAATAAATTATATTCAGTAGCGATTTTAATTGAATATTTTGATTATTTATTTATTTTTTCAAATTAAAACTGAACTTTATTGACTGTGTCCTTTTCCAGACTTTTTATTAATTTATTGTAATTAATTATTTGCATGCAATTAAAATAAACAATATTTAATTCTTAAACTTGTAACAATGAACCTAAAACTAAAAACCTTAAAAATATAATATAATAACTAAAATTAACATTATGTACAAGAATAATATACAAATACTAATAATATTCAAATATCACCCCGTATCGTTTCTGGCGCAAAGGTGCCCATTATGCTTGCAATAAAAACTAATTTTAAACGATGCCAAAGAAGGATAACTTCTCACGCGCCTACATAAGTACACGCACCCATTTTTTTTTTATGTAGACAGGATGTCAAATCGCGAGGAGCTCAACGGACTCTTTCCAACACAAGAGTTTAGATAAACGCCTAAATACCGAAATATTAAAGAGTATCCCTTACCCGTGCAACTAAGGCAATCTCACTCACTACAAGAACACAATACACTAACACTTAGCGGATTTTCCGCTCAAATGGAGCGCCCGTCTAGGGAAGTAACCTTACAGAATGAACCAGTGAAATACTTATAATAATAATAATAATTTATTGCATAAAAATATGGTATAAAAGGTGATCGATTATTCTCATGTCTCACATATTTTACTGTTAAACAGCATGCAACAGTTTTTAAATCAACTTAAAATTAAAGTGTAATGCTTGTCAGCTTATCAGTATCATGACAAGATCATTTAATACTCAATATTATACAATGTCAAATAAATATAAAATTATCCATCAAAATGTAAAAAATAAATGTCCAATGTTAAAAATCTGTTTTCTCACAAGATTCCAATAATCAATAATAATCATACAATGCTGACGATTCCTAATAAAATTAATAATCAAAATGTAAAATAGTAAATGTCCAATAAAAATCAAAAACCAAAAACTCGGTTATTCGCATTTTTCACATAAATTTTGAGGTTATGTGAAAAAAATATCGATACAAGAGTTGTAGATCTTTTTATTACCTACAACTTTGCCTTTTAACTTCTTTTCATAGGACTTGCAGTTTTACCGGAAATCGAGATTAACCATTTTTTACCCTTAAAAACTCACCCCCTCCCCCTTCCCGACCTCAGATCGCCCGTAATTTATTTTTCCTTTCATTTTTGTTATATTCTCTACCTTTTCTAATGGGTTTCATCCTACTATATTTTTTTTTCACTATTCACCACTTTTAAAATTATCGACCCTGGTCTAGATGTCCATTCAGCCTACTTATCCTCAAAATACTCTGCAAGTGAATAATAGCATTTTTCTATAAAAAAATTTATAAAGACGACGCGTCGTCTGAATAAGGACATAGGTAATGACTTTAATGGCTCAGGCAAATTGTTATATATTTTCACGCACATTGTAAAGCTATTTCTACTACAAATTTCAGTTCTAGAGTCTGGTAAACACATTTTTTTTGGATACCTAGTGTTAAAAGTACAGCAGTCTTTTTTTGTTTTATAAAAGTCAGGGTGCATTTTGACAAAGATACATATTTCAAAAATATAAATACACGGAACTTTCAACAACTTATAAGACTTGAACAAAGGCCTGCAAGAAACCCAAGAATCAACATTAGCAATAGATCTAATGCATTGTTTTTGTGCAATAAACAGTCTTTTAATTTTTACAGAATTACCCCATACTACGAGTATTATGCCATACCTTATGATCGAGGCTACATATCCGTGATATGCTTTCAGTGTGGTTTGAGTATTGCTTATTCTAGACAAACGCCACAATGCATACGCAAATCTATTTATTTTGTTACATACTTTGTCAACATGTGCTTTCCAAGTACAGTGATTATCAAATTCTATACCTAAAAACGTTACTTGACTAGTTTCTGCGATTGTTTTGTTGTCAACTTCGTTGTGTTCCTGTAAAACCTCGCAATATTTTCGTCCCGCACCGGTTCAAAAATTTGGGATTAGGCTTATTTCACCCTCTAGTTCATTTTCTATATTGTGCCGTTTTACGCTTTTTGTTTTTTAGTGGTGAAAACTATCCCTTATTATCAAAAATTATAAAATAAAATTTAAAACCTAAATATGGGTAAAAATAGTTAAAAAATGATTGTTTCATGCTTTAGGATACAATTTCATTATCTTTCAACATACCCTTGTTAAAAACTACACTTAAAATAAAAAAATGTTCTTTTTTAAATAAGTTTATCGGTTTTTTAAGCATAGCTCCTTCATTTTAGGTGATAGAATTTTTTTTTTCAGAAACGATTTGTAGAGATTTTTAGGAGCTATAAGACTATGTGAATTAAATTACTTAAGATCCCTTAATTTTTAAATGGGGAGAGTTTAAAGCGCTTGAATAAGGTGATGTTCGATCGTAAATGTAGGTGTTAAACGGCTATATCTCGCCGAGTATTCACTGTACAAAAAATATGCACACAGTGAAATTTTTGTCATTAAAAAAGCTACAATTTAGTACTATATCGTTTTTTTGTATCTTTAGTATTTTGGGAGATATTATTGATAAAATGGTGAAAAACACGAAATATATAAAAATCGGTTGTCTCTTTAAACTCCAATTTTTCTAAAATTTGGCATTTTAAATTGGTCAAACTTCGTGGGTGTATTAATAGTATATACAGGGTGGTCAAAAAGTCGTGGATCAAACGAAACAGGGAGATAAAGAAGGTTATTTCCAACAAAAATCTTTCTACAGCATGGCTTCATTGCACAAAAAGTTATGAATATTTTTATTTTTTTTAATGAAACTACCGAGTTTTTTACAATTTAATCAATAAAAAAATAAATTGATTAAACACAATAAAACAAAAGGTGTTGTATTATGACCGGATTATGTATCAATACTACAAAAATTGTATTGGAGCTCTCGGTACCAAATTTAACGAGCAATGAATTCTTTTTTCGTAAATTTTGAAGCGTTATAAAAAATTACGTTGAACTTTAAGAGCACCTTGTGAAAAAAAAATGTATTACAGAAAAGTGACCCTGTATTAAAAAAACTTGCTAATTTAATGCTGATTCAAATGAGGTACAACATTGTACTGTGTGACCTTTAGTTTTGGTTTTATGGTCGTTTTTTCATGTCAAGGTGCAAAATAAAATGGTTAATTGAAAGGAAAATTTAGATTCTTGCTCATACATACTATATAGTAATTTCAGAAGCCATCATGAAATAAAAAGAACAATTATGATTTAGTGATTTTATTGCAATTAAAATGTTTACATTAAATGTTCAAAGTTCCTACCTCTGACCATAATGCACAATCTGCACCGCCTAATAAAATTCGCACGTAATCGGCGGAATGCACCTCTGTTATTAATAATTTGTAACCTAGCAAACTCGAGCTTTTGTCGTAGTTCCTGTTCGGTGTTATTCTCTCCTTCATACACATTTCTTTGAAATAGCCCCAAACAAAAAAGTCTATTGGGTTAAGGTCGGGCGACCGGGGTGGCCATGCAATAGGTCCGCCTCGACCAATCCACCGGTTAGGGAAGCGCTTGTTCAAATGTCCTCGAACTGCTCGAGCATAATGAGGCGGGGCGCCGTCTTGTTGCAGCCACATTTCTGCCACTCTATCTTCAGAAATCTCAGCTTCGTTGAGTATTTGGTTCAAATTATTCTGTAAAAAATTCAAATACAGAGCACCATTCAGCCTTGGTGGCAGTTCATGTACCACAAACTTCTGGTCAATTATTCCAGCCCACATGTTTATACCAAACAAATGCTGGAATCGATCATTACTGATGATATGTGGGTTCACTCTTGAGTAAAAGTGTAAATTGTGGATGTTAAAAATTACCATTCTTCTAAAATTTGACTCATCAGTCCATAAAATTTTGTTTGAAGAACTGCGGATCCTCTCTGTGTCGTCTAAGCATCTCTCTGCAAAATACCATTCTAGGTCCATAGTCAGAGGGCTGTAAAGCTTGCACCCTTTGCACGTGGTAACCGTGGTATTTTTTTCTTTTAATAATAAGCTGCACCATCGATCGTGGGATCCCGAGATTTCGTGATATTTGGCGTTGGCTAATACCAGGGTTCATTCTTAACTCTCTCAGTATTTGCTCTTCATAGTCAAATCGTACCACTGGTCTACCTGTTCTCGCAGCATGCTCACCAGGTAAGGTTCCCTCCATGTACGCATTATGCACGCGCATAAAGACCCTGTAGTCCGGGAAACGGTCTCGGTTAGGATAACGTTGTCGATATTCTCTGGCAGCAGCCCGAGCATTGCCGTCGCAAAAGCCATAGAGGTAATGCATTTCTGCATACTCCCGTTGGGTGTACGATCTCCTCGCAGCAGCCATCTTCCGCTTATCTAGCGAATCCGTAGCGATCACAAAGTCCGATTCACACAGCGCAGGTCACAGGAAGGCAATCTATCACAAGTCCATAAACGAAGCGTAGGTCACAGGTAGACAATCAATCATAAGTCCAAAAACGAAGCGCAGGTCACAGGTGAGCAACTGATTACAAAAAATACGTTTGCGTGATCACGGGCAGATATCGAGACACTAAACAAAGAATTGTTCGCGCTTAAACTACGCGCGGGAAATACGCAAACCGCCGAACACTGCCGCATGATCACGACGGCAGCCGACGGACGTTGTCGGCAACAATCGTTTTTCATTATAACGACACTTTTTGACAAAGGATTAAATGGTTAGTGTGAAAGAGTGTCTGTCCATTTCATAAATCGTAAGTGTGACAAGAATAGAACATTTCTAGCGTTCCAACGTACAAAGAACAGCTGTTTATGATCAACTAGTAAATTATTTGAATAAGGTTAATTTAATGAAATTTGCACCTTGATATGAAAAAACGACCATAAAACCAAAACTAAAGGTCACACAGTAAAGTGTTGTACCTCATTTGAATCAGCTTTAAATCAGCAAGTTTTTTTAATACAGGGTCACTTTTCAGTAATACATTTTTTTTTCACATGGTGCTCTTAAAGTGAGAAGTAATTCTTTGTAACGCTTCAAAATTTACGAAAAAAGAATTCATTGCTCGTTAAATTTGGTACCGAGAGCTCCAATACAATTTTTGTAGTATTGATACATAATCCGGTCATAATACACCACCTTTTGTTTTATTGTGTATAATCAATTTATTTTTTTATTGATTAAATTGTAAAAAAACTCGGTAGTATCATTAAAAAAAATAAAAATATTCATAACTTTTTGTGCAATGAAGCCATGCTGTAGAAAGATTTTTGTTGGAAATAACCTTCTTTATCTCCCTGTTTCGTTTGATCCACGACTTTTTGACCACCCTGTATATAAAGAGAATTATAGAAGGCTGGCGATCAATTTTAATTAGGGAGTACTTTAGGGGTTGTTTTCACAGATTATTTTCGTAGAAAAAAGCGGGTACCGATCTTATTTTGATCATAAGTCGGTCATTTTTTATGCTAGAGACATTGTTTTTTATTTGTTTGAAAGCTCTAATTAAATACTTTAAAAAAGATTCTATGAGCTTTCTTCGAATAATGCAATTTTTTCACGTTATTTCACTGTAAATCTTCCAATTTATGCATTTGACGAAAAAAGCTAAACATTAATTTGCTGTATCTTAGTTCATATTTGTCATAGAAAAAATATAAAAAAACGCATTGTTTTCGTTTTTTTAAAAGCTATAATTTGACTCTTTAGAGTTGAATTTTTAGAGTTATTCGCAAAAAAACATTTAAAACAGTCGATTTTTTTGTCAAAGAACTGTTACTTTCAACTTTGAATAATTCAAAAAATATTAGTTTTACGAAAAAACGTATATAATATTTTTTTCTTAGAATTACTTTTCCGTCGATTCCTACAGGTCGTCGGTTAAAATGTAAGAAAAAACCCTACCCTACAAAAACTACCAAAATGATTTGAATGGTAAGATATGGTAATGGTAAATAGTAAGCACCCTCCGATGTCCAGGCGGATGCACCGAACATAATGCTACCGCGATCCTTATTGGTCAGAAATACTTGAGAAAATTTGACAGGGACAGTGCATCCGCCCGGATAGCGGAGGGCGTAGCGAGTCCCGTCTGCTGCCTAGTCAGCGTGGAATTTTTTCTCGAATTGTTTTCACTTCTATCATTCATCATTGTGCCTACAAGTCTTACTGTTAAGGTGTGACCTAGTTTTGAAGTTTAGAATTTAACTATTTTACCCTTTTAACTTTTGACTGTGTAAACAGATTGTATCGTCAATAATTTCCAGTAATAGAGCTGTGGTCTAAAGTATTTTCGTTAAGTTACAATGGGTAACGAACGGGAGAACGGCGAGAAACTCTTCCCATTTTAGGCGTTTTCACCGCTTAACCACTTTCCGGCCGGGCGAGCTCAGTGGACGAGCGTTTTGTCGCTAATTCAATACTTAATGATCAAAGTGGAATCTTAAAAAAAAACCTGTGTTTCTCTGGAGGTTTTGTTGCGCAACGTTCGAGGGGAGCTCGTTGAGTTGTGTTTGATTTCGAAACGGTTTGATAGTGGTCGTTGGAAAAACTCTTACATAAACTTTCAGCTAACTTGTAGAAGGATTCGTGTACATTATGTGTATAGATATCTAAGTATTTTTATTTTATGTAGGCTCACAGTTTCTTTATCTTTAAATATTGCGGGGTGTATCTTTAGATTTTAACATCTAGCATTTATTGCTTAAAAAATAGAAATATAACTACAAAATATATTTATTAGAACCAGGTGACTTCACTTTTCATGGAAAAATTGGTTTCCCATACAAGTTATTATCAGGTCAAAAATCTTAAGTTACGTTTGGTTTGCAGTAATTGTATTTTTTGGTGATTATTTTTATTATTTTTGGTTTGATCATATAAACATGAGCCGATAAGAACAATTCCTTATCATTTCCCTGATTGCAACTTCATACCAAATTTCATCTTAATCAGTTAAGCTGTTTAAGCGCAAATAGATAACAGACAGACAAAAAACGAGCGAGCCTTACAGTAGTCGCGTATGATGTGTATCATTTGAAACCTCACCTTATATTAGTAAAAAAAGAAATAAAACCTACTACAAAAGGAATAAGCCAATTGAACATTATATTCTAAAATCATATTAAATAGCGCGCGCTTTCGCGACTTCCTGTTACACACTTCCGTCCCATTACACGAAATCACTCTCACAAATTGCAGGAAAGCGAGAGGAAAGATGTTACACATCAAAAATACTATCTCATTTATAATATTGGTATGGATTGTGTTCAACGAATTAGAAATGATATTGAATATGAACTGCGTTAAAAAGTGGTTCCATGTAAACTGCGATCACGTGAGCGGGTCGAAAAAACTTCAATTCCGATCATGGGATTAGTTAAGATTTTCGTTTAATTAACATTATTTTAGCCAATGAATGGATAGTCTAATTTATTTGCTGATATTTGATTTGTCAAAGTATTTTGTTTTGTCAGTGTGTGTGTCGCGTTAGTATTGAAGTTTATTTGTTTGAATTTTGAACCATGTTGTAGCAGCTATGCTACAGAGTAATGCTTCCATATCGTATCAAAATTCGTTTATTGTGATAAAAAAATTGACTTGCCTTTCAAAATATCAGTGAGGAACAGTATTTCTGCAGGTTGGCAGCCGATCTTCTCCGCTATTTTCACGTAACTAACGGCTTCTTGCTTTGCACCCACAGCGGTGTCGAAGTGGCCGTCGATGTGTGGCAACAAATCTCCGGCCAACGACTGACCGAACAGAAGTTTCTGAGCATCCACGGAGCCAGACGAGTAAATGTAGATCTTCTGACCTTCGGTCGCACGCCATTGCTCGAGCGCAGGCAAAACGTCGTCGTAAACACTGGAATGGATTTTGCATGGGTGTATTATTGAACGTCCGTCGGTGGTATGTTGGCACTTCGAATGGCTATACGTACAGTAGATCCGCGGTGATCCGATAAACGTTTTGCAGGGTGATGTCGGATTATTGAATTTGCTGGATTACAGAGTACTGTCTAAGACGCACCCTCTATAATTCTGATTTTTTCCGACAATTTATAAATCTATTCAATTGATTTTATGTGCAATACAACAGTGCTAAGCGTGTCGGATTACAGGGGTCGCCGGATTAGACAGGGTCCGGATTACCGCGGGTCTACCGTATTTGCGATTTGTATTGTAATTTTAAGAGCCCTTTCACATTTTTGGCATTAAATCGCAATTTTTGAGCGCCTCCTTTGCCCCCTTAGAAGAGGTTTTGACTACTTCCAATAGAAGTAAACAGTAGATTTATTCTTCCTTTTGAAAATTAATGTAGAATATTTGCAAATACTATTTTCATTTTTTTGTACTGATGGTTCTACCGCAGCTAGTTTACGGAAAAAACGATAATATGCACAACTTAAAATGCCTAAATCTCACAATAATGTTCAATAAATTAGATCAAATTAATTACTATAACATCGGAAATATGTTTTTGTTGCAATATAATGTATTAGAATCTTGATTTTCCATCTTATTAATTATTAAAAAAACATCTAACCACCGTGAGTTTCCCCAAAAAATAACGCAGGTTTACCTCGTATTTTGATATTGAATTAAAAAGAATTACTATAAAAAAACTTTCATAAAACTAATCTACAATCATTGAACTATTGAAATATGTATATATTTTTATAAAAAGTTCATTAAATATTAATTTATAAAACTCTGAACATCACCCGTAAAATGCAATATATACCAGTGCAAATCTAGGCGCCGTTCAGTACGGCGCCAGCGCCTTTGGAGGTCGGACCTATGTCGCTTTGTACCGCACGCGTCCCGAGCGATGCTACGAGTGCACTCATCGTAAAACTGGCTGGATATACTACGACCGCAAAACTTTAATCGTTGACTGTATGTTAGTTTCCACAACCGTATTAATTTTTATTATTATATGTACCTCCCTAGTTATTAATTATCGTTGCTTCAACTAATATTTCTGTTATTAGCTTTTACTAATAAGCTTAATGGGGCGTAAAATTCCTGCTTACCATTGTGTCAAAAAAGAAAACGAAAGAATGATGCAGCCATAAAGAAAGCTTGTGAAGAAAGGTGAATATGGTTATAACATTTCGCTTTATTTTTAAAGCCTTTAAAATGCCATTAATTGATAAAAAACATGTTATGAAAGTTATTCATCATTAAATTTCCTACAACTTTTACAAAAATCTTTTTTTTAATAAATAAATACTTTTAAAGTTATGAGTCGTTAACGTAGCAATAACGCAGTATATCAGAGTTTTGTATACGTGCAATTGACTGTCATCACTAATATTATTTATAATATTTATATTTTTTTCCCCCATTTCTTTTATTACATTTTTTACAATAAATTGATAACAATCCAACACAACTCATCATCAGCTTCGATTTGTATGAAAGTAAGTGATTTTTTCGGATACTTCTGTAATTTCATTTCAATGCCCGTTTTTGCGCACATTAACGACTATTAACTTCAAAAGTATTTATTTAAAAAAAAAATATACAAAACTTGTAGGGAATTTAATCACGGATAACTTGTATACGACGTTTTTTATCAATTAATGACATTTTTAAGGTTTTATAAAGGAAAAACTACAAACATGTTCAAATAAACAACAACAATTGAAAAACGGTAAGAGTTACAATAAAAAGTTTGAGAGAAAGAAGTTAGAGAATTTAGTAATAAACAAATAAACACTACATTTTTTCCGTGCAGTCAATAATTTAGGAGATATAGCTATAAACACGTTTTCCAATAAAGCGGCCAGTTGTGACCACCCTACATTCCCCGATTTAAACTTAAGCTTCTTACAATCTACCCTTATGTCTGTAAAAAAAAGCTAGAGTACGGTAAAATGTTGTATTTCGATCAAGTATAACAAGTATAAGCTCGTGGACGGCCAAAGTACATATTGGCCCAACATAATAATATATTTAGAATAGAAATTCACAGTTCTATTTATTTTAGATGGAAACAAAATTTTAATGGCATCCCCCAAAATACTGAAACTATACCGACCATAAGTTTGCAATTTTTAATTTGCATTGGATTCGATTGCAACGGAAACTGTAAGTTTTTCATATTGTTATTGGAAGTAGACAATGAAAAAAGAAATTAAATTTATAACAATAAATTTATTATTTATTTAGGGAAAAAATGCTGTTGGATTGGAAATCGAAGCCGAGGAACAAAGGGAAGCGTCAAACTCAAATGTAAATATTTTAACTGTTTTATACTGACTTAATGGGTATTTCACTACTACACTAGGTACATAGTTTACAATGTTAGCAGTTTGGTTTTTTGTTTTAAACTCAAACTAATGGGATGCATTTCTAGAGCAAAAATGTTTATTTTTAATATTTTATATTAGACTTCTTTGCTCCATGAGTTCAATTGACAGTAACTTGCTGATTTACGTACCATATTATCTGTGTCTGGATTGGAAATGTATTTCCAGTATTGCCTATATCTATTTATTAAATGAACTATGAAGGCAAAGACAAAACTACACTTAGTACAGTTTTACTGAGATATTTGATTATTACCAAACATCAATCATCATTATAAAAGTCAATACTAAAAAACACAAGTAAATAAAATATTATTTCTCATTGCCACTCGAAAAAGGGATTTCATTCAGCGATAACAGTGAACAAACTTTTCATTTAATTACCGAGTGAATAAAAAAAAAATTAAACAAACAGAATTTATGCAAATCATACATATAAAGTTACAATAATTAGTAATAATCATAATTAATCTTTATTGTCATTTCCAAAACACAACCAATGGATACTATAAATATATTATTTATTTTCTCGCCATAGTAAAAAAACGTAATCCTTGTATCCTTTGCTCCACTCAGGATTCCTATCTAGAATTGTTCGTTGCTACAGTGGGGATCCATCTTAGCACTTCAAATTAACTGTATTTTGTACTAGCATTTAATGTATAATCAATAATTGCATATTAAAGTATCAATTTGGTAAAGCGCGCTATACTGAACATCGCCGCGTCGATGTCACGCTCGTACGACTCAGACACGCTCGCGGCCATATTTACCTAAACAAGAGAGGCGCAATTTTGTAAAAGGGCTCTTAACAGTAGCCTTTCCTTTTCATTCCCCTCATCTCTATAGATAAGGATATACTGCCATCAATTGTACTAATTCACTTCAATATTGGATTGAACAAAAATATGTTACAGATAGTTCGCAGACAGTTTTCTAGGCATCCGCGACGTACACAAAAATGTAAGAATTTCAAGCACACACTAACTAAAGTGATAAGATAACCTAAATTGGTATGATGATGAATGTTTTTTTTAATTCGCGAAGCCGTGTATTGGAGCAGTGCCTGATAAGTGCCATAAAGAAAGTATCAAAAATATTGCGCTTAAACTCACTGGCCCTTGATATCTCCAGAGTCGTAGCCTTGCTTCCAGATCAAACCCTGGAGTAACTTGAGCGGCCCAGCCTTCCTGTCGGAGGACATCTGCCATTTCACGCTGTTCACTAGACCTTCGATCTGGTCTTCCTTGGAAGCATCCTGTCAAAATAACATTATTTAAAACAAATAATTTCGGAAACCACAAACGTCGCCAATATTAACTGCAAGCCAAACATTTCAGTCTTATTGATTTCAGAGCCCTCTAAAAGTACTGAAACAACAAGATTTACCTTAAAGTTTAAATATACTCTATATAAACGTAATTTTGTCAAGTGTTGCAAAGTAAGCAGTTACTGTAAAGGTGTAGTAAAATGCCTGCAACAAGAGGCTGGTTATCAGATACGATACGATCCTGCATAAAATTCATCAAACTTTTTAAAGCATCCTAAGTCGTATTTCCTAACTTTTTTTTAAAGCAACTCATCTATCTGTATTTGTCTATCTTGTATTTCCCAATTGTCAAATACTTATAGTGACTCATGTGAGTAAGGACGATGTAAACAAATTCATCATCAATTAGAATTTGGTATATGCTCTAAGATTAGAATGCACACCAAGACGCTACCTACGGTTGACGTAATTAAGGTGAAATGCACGAGCACTCAGGGCTGCGGAACGGAGTCATTTTATTGACCTGATATTTTAAAAGTAATTCTTACGTAAAGCTCCTAGGTCCCAAATATTATAGGATCAGACCAGGCTTATGTTACACCAGTGGGTGTCTGCGACTTCGTCTGCGTAAAATTATTGATTTTGCACAACGATATTGAAAACCCCGTTAATTTTGCACTGTAAGTTACATCCTCCATGTCACTAAGTAGCATTAGCCTTTTTTGGAATTCCTCTTCCCTTTACCCAAATTAATCAAAATCGATTTAGCGGTTGCAGCATGAAAGTGAATATACTTATCATGCTCTATAGGGAATGAAAAGGATAAAATTTACAAATATCAATGAATACACATTTACATCTAGTAAGATGTAATGGCAACTCTGGTTAGTAGCGGCCGTTTTGACGAATTTCCTGAATATCCAATTGTATTTTGTATGCTGACAGTTCTCATGTGTATTCATTGATATTTGTAAATTTTATCAAAGAAGAAAAAAGGAGAACTTCTTTGTTAAGTACCTAATCAACTCGCACATTGCCAAATTTTATTTTTCTGTCTCACCTCATTCATCGAACCGACGCGACGTAATGAACCAGTGATTTCAAACCTGTCATTTGTAAGTCGAATCAGAAGAATAAATTCCGTTTGCTCACCTCGCCAGGGATCGCAACTACGCCATCCACGTTCTTCTCTTTGTCCTCGAGAGCAAGTTTCCTCAAAGCACTGACCGCCCCCTTCACATCGTCAGACTCCCACTGGCTGTCCAAGAACTGCTTCACATTTTCCTCGGCATACGGAAACAGCTTTTCCTGAGAACAAAAATGAAGATAGTCATATCAATCAAAGAAGCTCAATAGTTAACGAGTTAAATGGAAATAAAGCACTTTTCGCAACGACCTGTCATCGGACGGATGAAAAAAATATATACGAATGATGATGAAGAAAGTCACCATAAAATTAACTTGACAACAGTTATAATTGTTTATTGCAGCTAGTTGTACAGACAGGCAAGCGGCATCGCGCCTGAGAAAATTCTGAGCATCGAAAAGACTAAATACATACTGTGATCCATTCATTCAGCCTAAATCATGATATAATATTATTACACCCATCAAAAACGTCTAGGCAACATATTTTTCGATTTTGAACTTTTGAATGATTTTTACTATTGCAATTTATTTATATTATACTATCATAAACACTATTTATGATGAAAAGTTAATATTATATGTAAAATCAGCCAATTGTATATTTTCGATAGCAAAGAACTTTGTAAACCAATCTACTTTGCTAAAAAAAAACATCAATCAATAACACGGACCTGAAAAAAAGACGTAACCTCGTCTAATCGTGAGGAAGCATGCCAGAGGCTTTGAGGGTTGTACTGTAAATCTTCAATTTCCCTACTTTTTAAATCTCGCATACTAACACATTGTTAACATTATGTAATAGAAAATGTATATATATTATAATAACTGGATATTTGCCATTAATTTTTCGTTCTCAGCCACCGATATTTTACCAATTTAAACGGTTGCACTTCAATCCCCGTAGCATGAGCAGCACAATTTACATTATATCTTGTTTTTATCTTGTCTAACTGTCAAACTCCATAGTATTTGACAATTTAGCGTGATAAAATCGTGTTAAATATCATATCGCGGTGCTCATGTTAGGGGGGCATAAACAATGTTGGCCTATCAAATTATTTTTTATGACCACAGGGATAGAAAAAAAAAAACACTTTTTACGTTGCGCTTCAATTCCTGACACCAGGCCTGGGTTTTTTTTATAATTTAGATTTTATTCGTAAGTAGGTTAAGGTTGAATCAAATTAAAATTTTATACATTAGGTAGTTTTCAAGTTGTTGTAATTTAGGTTTCTATATATAATGTAATACTGTAAAAAAAGATTGTAAGAGGTAAATAATAAACTGTGATATTTTGAATAATTGGGAACATGATATTAAAAAAAAATAGGAACTACCACAAATGCTAGTGGTTAGTGCATCTGCCCAGACAGCAGAAGACGCAGATTAGAGTCCTGCCAAAGTATTATACAAAAAAAGTAGCCCTATAACTGTAGTTATAAAATCTACGTCATGTGCACTGCACACAGTACTGGAAGATGATGGGTTCCAATTAGGGTCCATCCGTCCGGATTTGTCCGGACATGTGCGGACTTTTTTCCCTTTGTCTGGCTTTTTACTTTGTCCAGTTTTTTTTAATTTAATGGTATATAAGTGAAACTACTTATTAAGTTATATCAAATACGTAAAGTAATCTTTATTAAGTTCTCATTAATTTAAAACAAGATATAAATCACGCTTTGTCAGGACTTTTCAAATTTTTAAATAGTAACCCTAGTTCCAATGGTTTTCTCCTATGCAGTTTCGAATAACTAAAAGCCAAGTCATGCTTTGAGCTTTTATTTCTAGGAAACCTATTAGAGAGGAGGCAAGAGTAATTTCATATGAATAATATGGGTTCTACTCTATTCCTTTCCGTGTGGCAGACGAGACCCTAAAAAAATAATAAATCTTGTGTTACAGAGTCACAAATGAAAGCAATGCAAATTTCCCCACTTTTAAGAAAATTTTCCCGTAAAAAAAGTTGATTTTCTATTTAGAATTTTCAGCACATTAAATAAATATAATTTAGAAAAATTACCACGATTCTTCATTTCTTACGCAGGTAGGTGATTTCTTATGACTTTTTGAGTTGACTCGTGTAGTTTTTACATGCTTTCATCACACAAGACGACACTTTTTTATTTAATTCGGTCGGAGCAATTGAACGTGTCACCGACGCTGACACGCGGGGTCAAATGGCAGCAGGTTGTCGGACGGTGCCAATCGCCTAACTAGATTGCTTTGGAAAACGCTATCGCTTACGATTTCATTTTGTTATTTCTAGCCACCCGAGGTTTTCAAATGCCTCGCGCTCTTTTTTTTTCTTTTGCATTGTTAAAAACAATATTAAAGAAAATGAGCGTGAGGTATTTGAAAACCTTCGGCGGTTAGAAATAACAAAATGAAATCGTAAGCGATAGCGTTTTCCAAAGCAATCCCGTTAGGCGAATGGCCCCCTGGTGCATTTGTGTAAGTTAAGGTAGTGTACATCAAACGAAATTGTAATTAATACCTTGCATGCTTCACATCATTCTAGTTTTATATTACGTCCATTTTTTTTTTATGTGCAACATCTTTCCTCTCGCTTTCCTGCAATTTGTGGGAGTAATTGAAATGGGACGGAAGTGTGTAACAGGAAGTCGCGAAAGCGCGCGCTCTTTGATTTGATTTTAGAACATAATGTTCAAATGGCTTATTCCTTTTGTAGTAGGTTTTATTTCTTTTTTTACTTTTATATGTGAGTGGTGAAGGTTTCAAATGTTACACATCATACGCGACTACTGTAAAGCTCGCTCGTTTTTTTCTGGTCCGTGATTAATACAACATTTCAGTTTCTGTATATGATGCGTGTTGCTTAAACTTTTTTGATGTATGTATTTGGCAGGGTTGCAAATTATCAAGATAATTATGATAATTATCTATAATTATCCAACTATCAAATTAAATAACATAGGTATATATAAATGAAAGTTTTTTTATATTTTTAGACATTACTTTTACCTGACAGTCTTAGGCCCGTATTATAGAAAGATTCTCAGTGATTGATCTGGTCTTGAGCATAGTTGGAAAGGGATGTCGCTATATATAGCACATAGCAATATCCCTTTCTTACTGTACTCAAGTAAAGATTAACACTTAGTTGTCATTCTGTAATACGGACCTAAGGCTTCTTGTGTTAAAAAAAATATTCATTTTAATATGAGGAAGAGTTAATTATTTTAATTTTTGACTGCTATTACTAATGTTTTAATTAAATATGATGCAATTTTATATTTATTCATACATTTTTTTTTAGTAAAGCTATCATTTATCTAAAATATTTTCAAACAAATAAATTCTTAGATTCATTATTATTATTAATAATAATAATAAAATGTACTAAACACTACTATTATTTTATTTTGAACAATAACAGTTACTCATTTTTATCAACGATAATTATCCAGGGCAACCCTAATATTTAGTGCTAGTTGAAAAATTACTTTGATACGCTATTAGGACTGGCTTCAAGCAAAGACCACAACTGCTTGGTTAAGCTAGCATTTCAACTCGACCAAACTATTGCCGATAAAAAAACACTGCGGTATGCGCAATAACTCGAAACACAATATCTATAAATATCACTGGTAAAAATAGACTTATCCTACTAAAGGTCAAGAAAGTACAATGAACTGTTCCAACAAAAACTGAAATTAAAACTAGCGGAAATTCCGTTCATTCATAAAAAGCTTTATTACCTAAATACAAGTTAGTAAGGACACAATCAACCTACAAAAACTTTTGGACTTTCATCAGAGAATGTTACTGCAACACATTTTAATTATTTTTTTCTAGGTAATACCAGCTACAAATTTTCTTTAGGTATAAAAAATTTGCAGATAAAAACTTAAATATGAATTCTGACCTGTGGTATATCTGTCTAACTTAGGCCCGTATTACAGAAGGACAACTAAGTGTTGATCTTTACTGAGTACAGTTAGAAAGGGATGTCGCAATGTGCTATATATAGCGACATCCCTTTCTAACTATGCTCAAGACTAGATCAATCACTGAGATTCTTGCAATAATACGGGCCTTAGTCTCTATCACTTTCCCCTTCAATGCATAAAGAAAAGTGTGGTCCCCTACTAGTTATTCCAATATTATCTAGTTGAACACTGTTACAAATATTATTTGATTGGCTGTTGGTATCGCGTTTCATAATAATGAACATATCGCTACTTAATGATGCGAACTTGGGGGATACTAATAATTTTGAAGGAAAGGAAACTAGGAAATTTAATAGTACTTATCATACCAAAACGTTTCGCACCTAAATCAGTGAATATGAATAACCAGCTATTTACAACAGAGGAGCAACTATTCTCAGTAATATTCATATCGAGAAGACGCATTCTTAGGAAAATTACAATTTTTTAATACAAACTTGAAAAGACTTTCTTTGAAAACTACTAAATAATTTAGCTACGCTTTAATGTGGCATATTATCACAAACTAGGTCAAGGTTATTTCATCATTAAAAATATTCTATAATCTTGATCAGACAGAACTTACGGTACGGTATAAGTACCAAAATAACAACTATTCTATAACATCTATAAAAAATAAAGGATTCTTCCTCAATGTCAAATTATATCCAGCAACACGGCCTTGGGCTAAACTGTACCTCTTGGGCCCGGAAGCTAAAACTTCACTCTAATCTAGTGTTAGGTTAGTGTTGTGGCCATGACGCGCGAGCCGAGCGAGCAAAACGAGCTTGCAGAGGGCCGGTGTCGTAACGCCACAAAAAAAATCGTTAACCAACCTCTCAAGGGACATTTTAACCAAAAATTTGGAGTGTCATCTCCTGGGCCCAAGAAGTACTGTTTTACCCGGCCTTGGATGTACTAAGGACCATGACATTTATTATACATTTTTGTGAAATATGCTCCCTCATACGGAAGAAAATGCGGTGGGGTTCTATGTCAAGGAAAAAGTGGCTCTGGCGTAGCGGCAGTCTTTAAAATTGCTTTGTATCTGTTTTCAAAATTATTCAGCCTAAAGTGAAATTGCAACGTCTACGATGCAGGGGGACGGGTGAACGAACTGGCAACTCGTCTGCGCCCATGCCGGTGTCCAAACCGGATAGCGACTCTACCTAGCCGAGCGAGGCCGCTCAGGGATACTACAGGAACGATATAGGCGAGATGTCTTGTATCACGCTCCAATGACAAAGTTATGTGACAAAAAACGTTCATTGTGGGACCTGATTAAGTAAAGGTACCAACCGATCTTCAGTGAACCACTGAAAATTTTGGGGTATCTCTACTCGTATCTGCCGCCATTTTCATTCGAGAAAATAGCAAGCTATCATCTTTTATAAAATCCTTCAATTTTTATAAACGCGGTAGAATACAATCCGTTTTTTAGTTTTATCAAAACAGCTTAGAGAAGTGACTCTTTAAATTTTAAGTACCTATACCTATAACTAAAATCTTTAACTTGCGAAGTGAAACACAACAAAGAAATGCTATATGTTTCATATTATTTGAGGCCAAGGTCCACTTTGAGATTAAACACCATGTTAGTATAATTTTTATTTTGTAATGTAACTGCTTGATTATATTTTCTTTAGATTTAACCATGTTATTAATTCAATATGTGCTTCATACCTTACTAAAAATCGCCATGTATTATTAATATACACCCCTAAATTCATAGAGTCGACCGAAAACACGGTGAATATCAATCGCATTCCTTCAAACCAACTTTCAATTGGTCAGGTGAATTGAGTTTGGATTAGTTACAAAATCTATTTAAACCGCGGTGAAAGGTTCTGATTAGTATAATGCCATATCAAAAGACGAAAAAAGGTCCATAAATATACACCTTAACTTCACCTACGCTGCTGTAAAAAAAATATTGAGACGGGAAAAAGACAGCTTTCGTTTTAATTATCTTGGTTATTGCTTTCTTTTGATCCCAGTATGTTCCGTGAGGATTACAATCCCGTAACCTAGCCACGTAAGGGCCAAAATAAGTACATAATATAAGTAGCTTACCTACACACACATTTCTCAATTTATCTACAATTTACAAATTTACTGTTGTTTTCGCAGTTCTAAACATATTGTAAGGCCGTATACAGAAAGAAAGCCGAAAGCCGATCGGCGCTTATCGGCGCCGATCCTTCCTACATAAAGGAAGCCGATTAAAGCAGATCAAGCAAAATGTCGGACTCATCGGACGATGATTTGGTTTTGTTAGAAAATGTTTATTTAAAAATACGAAAAACAGCTATACCTCCTATAAATAGAGAAAGGAAACGTTTCGGAGAATACCATAATTTATTTGTAAAAAAAAAATAAATTTGATGAACAAAGATTTTATACATATACAAGAATGATTCAAGAAACATTTTATTACATTTTGGATTTAGTGAAAAACCGTTTGATGAAAAATTGGGGCAATTGGCATAAACAACCAATCCTTCCAGAAGAAAGACTTGTTGTCACCATTCGATAAGGACGAAACAAATAATTTTAGCGCTTAGTTAATAAAAGATAAAGTTATTAGATTTATAAAAAGATTATAACTTAGATTGATTTAATCTAAGGAAAATAATTCAAATACAAATTATTTATTATTCGGACCAGCGCGAGTCGGCGCTTATCGACGCTTATCGGCGCCGGTCCATAGAAAAAGGATCAGCGTCAATAGGCGCCGATAAGCGCCGATCGGCGCTGATCGGCGCCGATCGGCTTTCGGCTTTCTTTCTGTATACGGCCTAAGGTGATCAAATCTGACCAACCACCCGCCAGACGAACCTTGCTCGTTATGCAAATCCGAAGTAGCGGGAAATACGCGCGGAATGGCCTCCAGTAGTTTCTTGACTCCCTAAAAATTATTCTAAATCTGTCTCCTTTGGCCCTATGGTCCTTCTCCCTTTTCTAGTGTGGGTGTACACGACATTGAAACTGGCCACTAGTCTGCCTGCCCGAATAAGCTCGCAGTCGGCCGGCAAAACACCGGTCTAAATCGGCAAACGACAGAGCTCATCGACCGGTACGCCTTGGTCGGAAGGATCAAAGCGGGTCTCTAGGTGCGCAAGAGCGCACTACACACAATGTGAACGAACGCTCGCTCTTACCAACATGCCTCAGCATACGTTACTGTGGCAATGTAAGAGTACTCGGTATAGAACCTCATACCGAACTCCCCAAGGAGCCGCCGATACTCTCGACATCTTGCCAAAGGAATTTCCGCCCACTCCCCCAGACACGGCATGCTACGCGAAGGAGACTACGAGAGAATCGACTGTCGCACCCAACACAGTAGCCGACGACACGCTCCTAATTGGTGGCCGCTGGCATTTCCCCCTGATCGCCATAGTTGTAGACTTTGCAGGAGAGAATTCCAGCCTATTACGGACCGTCATTCAATAAAAAGGTACAAAACCATAGAGGTCGTGGCCTATATGCCTGCATATGAATGTTTCCAGGGTCATACTTCCACTACTAGCACTTCAAGTGGGGGTGCAATTTGCTACACCTTGTGAATAAAAAGCATATTTTACTATTATAACACCCTGTACCACACAGGCATGACGAAATTTCGAAAATATAGAGACTGCAATCATGTCAACTACATAAAACCTATGATTTAACACCAATTGCAGTCAGACTAACCAACATGTCAAATACACTTTAACTGCACTTCAATATTAGTTGTACTGACAGTATGATAATGCCTTTTTGCCACATATATAAAAACTGTGGATCAAGAATGTTAATTTAATAGCATATAATTCAGTTGCTATCAAGTCAGACCCCACGGAAAAACTTTTTAATTCTAATGCTATTTGCTAAACATGCACTAAAGTAAGTTTTAAAGATATTTGTAATTTTTTATGTCGTAAACTCAAAAGTATTCAAGGATTTTTCAAATAACTGAAAAGTTCATTAATAAAGTAGAAAATCTAGGTATAATAGGGTTCCAAGACCACAAATAAATAGAGGTAACACAACATCAGATAGATAAAAACTTCAAAGTTCCTGTATTTCTTCATAGAATACTATTTTGCTTCCTGTACAATATAGGTTTTATTTCTTTAGATAATTAACAAATTCACAACTTGTCTAAACTAACTTTCACAAGATAGAATTCAAAATTTAGAGAAGAATTTTCTGCCCTGCAAAACCTTGATGAGCATTTATTTATTTGTCATATTCAAAGTTTGCTGCTCAACTTTTGATATAAATTTTAATAGCATAATATAACTCCACCAGTTTTCCCAAGCATCCTAGATATTGTATATAAAAGCCTATACAATTATTACTGCTGTTGCTGAACAACAGCTTGGACTTCCCCACTATGTGAATTTATAAAATAGGGCATCCAACTATACTTCTTTTAATTGCTTTGATAAATGTAATGATTTATAGTAGAAGGTACATACTTATCAATATTAATTACAAATTACTTGATTTTTTTATTTGACTAAATTTAAATTGATGTACTGAAACTTTTATAGTAGTGCAATTGTAAATAAATATAAATTATCTGAAGAAAACTACCTATAATCAGTAAACACATATTTACCTACTCACAAAAGTAGTGAAGTAGTATTAAAGACCAGAATTGTTTAGTGTCAGTTCTAAAATCTACAATTTTATATAAAATAATATTATATATGAATGAGGGTAGGCCTAACACACATAATTACAACTTAAATTCAAAATGTGGTAATTTATTAATTATCTAAGGCAATACAATCATAGAGCAAAGTTCCATTATAGTGAAATCATAAGTTCACACAGCGGTCAATGCTTTTGATCATCGATCAACAATTCTATAGATAATGGTTGTAAACAAAATCAAAGCTAAAAACTGTCTGCTTATGTTAAAACTTATGCAGCTAAATTTGATTCCCAATGAACAAAGATAAATGTTTTAAAAGCAGTTTAAGTTGAACCTAATAACAAGTATCTCACAAAGGAATAAGGTTTCAAATAACAAAATGTTATTTCGCACACACAACCTATTATCTTATAAAACGAACTCTTCCTTGTAAAGTAAAAACAAATTATATCTGATACTCAGAAAAAACCGAAAAAGGTGAAAAAAAATTTTTTTCCATCAACCTTATGACCCACAAAATAAAATATTTTTACAGTCATTGGCCAGCAAGTTACTTAGTTTATAATTAAACGAAGTAATTTTAAAATAAGATCTCTCGCCTCAAGTGAGGCTATATTTACCGAGACGGATTTTACGCGCTGACCCGTTATCTATAGAATTGTTGATCAAAGCTTTTGATAGTAATTAATATTCCCCAGACAGCACGAAACGTCAATCATAATTCATTCCGTCTCTATCGTAGAGGATACATCCGCAGTGTGTGCGACAAGGACGGACAGAGGCAACTTCATGCCTATTGAAAGAGGACAGTTAACTGTTCCACATTTTTTTACAAGCCAGCTGCTCCGAACAGCTGTTCATGCCGGCGAGACGATCTTGCCTGATAATAACAATTAAACTATGACTAGAATATTGATAAGATGTTTTAAACGAATAAGAAAGGCTTACAAGCGCCAAATTATTAGTTTATAATACACCTATGTCATGAAAGAATATTGATGTGAACTAAATTCTAAACGCGGATACGAATTTTAGGAAACGAACAAATTAAACAGCATGTCAGTGACAACGCATCGTTAAATTTTGTTACCCATTTAAATATTTAGCTTATCGTAAAACACGTGTACGTAAAATCAGACAATGAGGGTCGCATGAAAGGGGGTACCATTTTGATTTCGTCCTCCATATTGCGAGTCGGAATTCGCGACCATTTTGTACATGCCTTTCAGTGCTTTTTAGATCGCAAATAATTAGTTAAAAATATGTGTAACAATAAACAAAAATCAATCAGTATAAACACAGACGTCGAAAGAAAACACCGGCCGGTCAATCATCAGACCTACCTTAACAAAGCTGATCGATGTTGTTGTTCCTTCGATGTCCAACAAAAGGATTTTGCATTTCTTGACGATTTCGCCGATATCTTTTTTTTCATTTGCCATTTCTAACGACAAGTATTGCCCCTATGTGAAGTACTTTTTTCAATATTTAATTTTACTTGACCAGAAATTCTATCACGCTACGCTAACACCCCCACACCACAGAAAAAAAGCATTGATTGAACGACGCACGAGAAAGAAAGAACACGATCAACTGACTGACGAAGCGGAATGAGATAGATGCGGAACTGAGAAGCGTATTTGCTTCAGGAAAACAGAGATAGCATGATTTTGGCAAAGAGCAAACGAGAGATAACAAACGGAAGGATATGGATATCAGACAGGATAGCCAATTTCAAGAAAATTATTGCCAGAATGCCATACTAAAAATTTATTTACCTCATATTCTAATATTAAGGTGCTCGGTGTTTTTTTTTTTTTATTTATTGTGCTACTTGCATTACATTAAGATTTCATCTCTTTTATTTCCTAGTGAAAATGAAAATATTTATAATATATAACCCCGAAGTGAGATTATGCGAATATTTTGAGAAATCTGGGGAATAATAAAATTATAACTAGGATCTACATAAAATAATAGTTTGAAATATAGGGGTCGATTTATTCGATTAATTATACAGAATCATATTCATTCTTCATAAGTTTTCCTGAGTTTAGTCAGTTTATAAAATATATTAATTTTATTAAGTATTTACTTCAAACATTACCAATTTAATATGGCTTTAGAAACGAAGTAGGTACAGTTTGTCTATAAAGTCGTGACATTAAATGATGGCGCCAGTAGTATGCATGTAGCAACCCTTTACAGTCGGGCCAAAATGATTTTGATACTAGCAGTTCATTCAAGTACAATAGGTAATTAATAAGACACACTATACAATCGTATTTTGTTTCTGTTTTATATATAGTAGGTACCTTTGCTTATAAAAAGTTTAGCCAAGCATATTTAATTGAATCAGAATAAAATTATTATAGATAAAATAGTACTTTATAGTGTAAAAGTGTGTAATGTTGGTGATTACCGCTGAGGTGCCATTGAGACCAGAGCCGTTAGGTAATCATCAATACACACAAGTATCATCATACGACGTTTTTTAACACACTTGTTAAGAAAATAATACTAAAAATCATTTTAAGGTATATAAAAAGTTTATTTAAAGAAACAATTTGTGAATGTGCAGTTAGTAAAATTAGTGATAGGTATCTTCACTAAAAGCATCTGGCCATGGTTCTTTATGTGACCATTCCTTTCTTTGGTCGGCTTTGCCTGTTTTCCCAGGAGTTTCAAACTTTCCATCATTCTTAAAACCTTCGTTGGCTACCCGACTCTCTGATTTTCCTGAAGAAAAAAGTAAAAAAATATGTAACGGAATAGAAACAATAACTTATTGACATGAAACAATTAATTCAAAATTGGTAGAAAACCTGACCGAGTTGAACCATAATAACGTATCAAAAGAAATGGCTGTACTACAATATTACCTATTTACAATGTGAATCTAACCTAAAAATGTGCAATGTAAACAATGCCTTTTTTGGTCTCAAAATCGTAAATTGAGTAAATTTGTAACTTCAGGCAGATTACAAACAAATAGTTACACGATTACATACCCGTCATAGATGCTGTTCGCGCATAAACATCGTCCAAATCCCACAAAATTCGTCCAGCTTGGTAGTCTTCGAAACATCGCTGGAAAACTTTAAAAATCACTTCCCGCGTGCCACTCCGATTTACTTTACTCATTTTTATACCTTTCTGCGTAGTTTCGTCTTAATTTATTACAGTTTAATCCAAACAATAAAAAATACAAAAGGAAAACTGTTCCAACTGAAACTCGATGACAGCTGATGTACATAATTTTGGTGTTGCCAAACACATGAATAATGTTAGTTCCACAAACATTAATGTCACGACTTTATAGACAAACTGTAGGTAGGTATGTAAACTATGGATTATATAAAATAAATGCCTTTGTAGCACTTAAGGAACATTAATTCATGTTATATGTTTTTATTATTAGCCACTCGAACGACGATACCAAGTTGATTCTAAAATTAGTGTTGAGTACTATTTTTTATATAAAGGAAATGTGTAAGTATTTTTTATCCCTGATTAAAATATATAAACCAATGAAGAGCACAAACCTTGATCATATTGAAGTTATAAAGAATAATAATAAGAATAATTTAATTTAGAGTAACTGGTTTTTAAGAGACTTCAGTATATTTTTTTAAATAAAATAAGACCTAGACTGTGAAGTGGCTGATTTTTTCAGTGGGAAGGATACTAGGTTTGAACTGGTAACACTGTACATTTATTCTGAAAGTTGGTAGTGTTATACGACCGACTGAGCGCTAAAAATTAAAAAAACGGACATGTGCTGTAAATATATGATAGAAGTGAAACCTACAATAATGTGAACACTTAAAAGTCCTTCATGACTACGTAAGTCTTAAAGACAACACCTGTGTTAAAACTAAACTTTCTAGGTCAAAATTAAATATTTTTTACTATTTATTTAAATAATAAACGAAACTATTTAGTTTCGAAAAATAAATAATATGTACTGTACCCCTAGCACGAACCATTATCGAATTCGAATAGTTTGCAAACCGAATGTCAATGTCAAATTTTGTATGGAAACTTGAACAGCAGCGCGAGCGGCACAAAGTATAGCATAGTAAAGCACGAGAACTAAAAATTAACTTTAGGTTTTTTCGACGACCTCTGTGGCCGAGTGGTTTATACGTTTCATGGTGTCGGCGACTCAAGAAGTCCTGGATTTGAATCCCAGTGGGGGCAGATGTTTGTGTGATGAATTCGAGCATTTGTACTCCAGTCATGGATGGTTAATATGTATTTCTATATAAATATGCTTATTTAAGTACAGTTTAAGTATTCTATCCGTTACTTTAGTATCCCATAACACAAGCCTTACAGTGCTTACTTTGGGGATAGGTTAATTGGTGTGTGTTGTAAAAAAAATAAAAAAAAATGTATTCTATCCTTTACCCTGAAACCCATAACTAGGGTTGCAACGATATATCGGAATATCGATAATATCGAGACCAAAATATCGATATTTAAAATTTACTGATATCGATAATATCGATATCGGAAATTCCAAAATATCGATATTTCGTAGACTAAATTTGAACACAATAATATCAATAAATGTACCTGCTATGACTATCTAAATTGAATAATATCGAAATAAATATCGCTTTGAAATCGCAAGAGGTTATAGAAGTATTAAAAAAATCTTGAACCCCAAGAAATATACTAAACTGGTGTGATGAGTTCGGGCATGATTCTCTAAACCTAAAATTAAATTTGACATCAGTGTATCCTTGTCATTCTCTATACAGAATGAAAACGAGAGACAGATGTTAAATTTAGTATTAAGTTTAGATAATCATGCCAGAATCGACACCAACGTATATAGGTATAATCGTATACCTAATGGTAACTCATGTGCTTAAATAAAATCCTTGCCCCTCTTTCTAGATAATTGTCAACTACTGATTAATTGAAATTAAATATCATTGTAATATAACACAAAATCAAATTAAGAATCTTATACAAATCGTATTTTTTTTAAGCTCGCCAAGTCAAGAAAGTAATTTTGGAAGTTTTGGGCTTACCCTATTCTGAAGCCATGGGCACGCCCCTGATGTTTTAACATTTTAAACAAAATAAATATCTTTGATTCGAAATTGCTTTTGATTTGATACTTCTTACAGCGCTATAAAAATATAGAAAATATCTATAAACATCGTGTTGGAAATGTTGGAATGGCTGATATATCGGATCGGAAATCGATATTTACCTGCCCGCATTATAAATATCGATATTTCGGAAACCTTTGCTTCCTTAATTTTAGGTTTTTGCTTTGCAAACTTAATACAAAGCAAAAAAGAAAAAAATATCGATATATCGATAATATCGAGTTAAAATGGTCGATATCTCGGATATCGATATTTTCCTGACTTCGATATAAATATCGATATTTCAAAAGACTGCATCCCTACCCATAACACAAGTTACACAAGCCTTACAGTGCTTACTTTGGGGCTAGGCTAATTGTTGTGAGTGTTGAAAGTAATTTATATTTATTTTACATCAGTTTAAAGTACGCGCTTCATAAAAAATGTTCATATTTGTAGAATCAGATTTTTCTCATTATTTAATCTTAAGGTGTGATATATCCACATGTTCCTCAAGATTTACCCGTGTCAGTGATTTGTAAAGATCATAGTTTTATTTGGTTTACAATTAAAAACCTAGATAAATGTGAACACGTCCAAGTTTTATTTGTTACCAGCTATTTTTATTATATTTCTTTTGTTGTTTTTCTTATCTTAGGGCTTTTCGAAATATTTATTTATGAAACATTACTGTAAAAAAATTACAGACATTATAAAGGTAAGGATTGTTGATAAAAACCAAGCCTGTATTAATAAACAACTTAGGCACCTACCAAACGTTTAATACATAACTGTTCAGGTATTGTAAAATACTGGGCAAATTTTAATACTTTCATAGTTTTGAAAAATAAACAATAGCTAAAAAAAAATGTGTGCGTGTACTAGTGTACACACGAAAGAAGTGAAACTTCTTTAAGGCCTTATTTTTCGAAAAATGATCTACATGCAACTTTCCAGAAATTGGTTAAATAAAGTTAAATTAGATAAAGTTTAAACAAAAGGATTTTATTATCATAGACATGAATACAAATTACTGCCTATGAAACTGTTATGATTACACGGCTCAGTAATCTAAGGCACATGTTCCACCTCCGACGATGAACAATAAGCGAGTAGAAACTAGAAACGAATTGGCAGTCCTGAGTTAAAATGCACGCGCACGGCTTTTGACAGCCAAGCCAGCTTAACCGAGCGAGTATAGCTGAGCGAGTATCGCTGGGCGAGTATCGCTGAGCGAGTATCGCTGAGCGAGTATCGCTATGCGAGTTTGGCTGAGCGAGTCTTATCTTTAATAACTATTGTCACTCAGCTACAAACGAGTAGAGAGAGTTCTCGCCGGCGACAGTGTGATCATTCAGCTATCAACTATTAATATAAAAAAAGATGGCGCGTAACGAAAAAATGTGACGCGTAACCGAAAAATGTGACGGTAAATTTTTTTCCAACGCCGATAAAGAAGTTTCACTTCAATAAAAGAAAAGAAAATCAAAATATAAATACCGAGCTCAGGGATTGAACGACCGATCAGTGACAAAATTATGGATAACTATC